CGAAATTAACGCTATTCATACAGATTTTCAAAAGACAGTATTGTGGCAACAATTTAGCTCTTATTCACAACATTTTCAAAGCTCCCGTTTTAGTTCCACGTTGCTCTCTGCGCCAGGCATCCTGGGCTTTTCGGGCTTGCGAGCGTTGCTCTGCCACAGTGCCAACAACAGCGCACGCTACACTCCTTTTCACACCCCCACACTCGCGGCCAAATAATAATATTTTATTCTCTGACTATGCGGAAGGGAGAATTGAGAGCTGTAGAGGCCCTCAATCATCCTTTAATTTTCTATATATGCGGAAGAGAGAAATATGCCGCCTTTTTATTGCCTCGCACAGCCACGCAAAAAGTCAACCTGCGAAGGGGCGAGAGAGAGAGACATGAAGATTTCAGATGAAGATCCCAGCGAGAGACAATGGCCAGAGATATGGGAAACAGTGGAAAGATCCACCCACATGTACATTAGCTTTTGAGCTTAAGAAAGTCTCATCATTGTCTCCCAGAGAGCACCCGAATGGACAATTGAAATACCTTCTCCGACACTCCAGATGCTCAGTGGAGGCTCTATTATGCATACCACATAATAGAGGGAATTACACTACAAAGACAATTGACTTCATTGTCTTTATTGTACACTGACCCACTCCTCTTATCATTCCCCCAGACCATGGAGCCGGGCTGTGGGGCGCAGTGACAAGAAAGTGGATAAGATCGCTTTTCAAACTGATTACAATTGAATGACCACCCCATTCACTTCCCATTCATTCACACGAGCTGGCCAAATAGGGGGTGAAACTCCCTTCGCCAGCACTATTGGCAGATTTTCATTTCCTCCCTGCAACTCCATGACCATCGTCTGATAGCACAAAGTGATAATGACACTGACCTTTGGCGCGTAGACGAAAATCATTCCATGCATTTCGCTGCATAGAATTGAATACAACGAATTAACCATGTATTTGTTAGCTTGAACTTGTGCTAATCATCCATCCAGAGTTTGTATCTCCCCGGAAGTCTATTTCATTGGCAAAATCTCATCTTCATTTCCCCCCGAACGCTTTTATTGATGAGGATTTAATTAAGTCACCGCTTTAGAATTGAAACATCATCAGCGATAAGTCGCTGAAATTTGATATAATGGCCCTAGAAACCACCCTTTCGCACTTGCACAACCCCCATCATCGCCTTCTCAATTGGATTTTCCTGGCAAGGGTGCATTCTTCCCACCCTCATTCCCATCGGCACGCCTTCGCCACCCCTTTCCCAACCACACATGAATAAATTATGATGATATTTTCCATACTGTGCAGCGGGTATTGAATAGGTGGTGTGCATGCTCCAAGAGATGCTCATCGATTCCGGAACACAAGTGAAATATAAATCAGGCGATGGGATGAACCATCCCTCGGCGTTGCGAGACACGTGCATTCCCCGTGGTAGAAAGTGACTCAATTTATTCCTATTTAAAATCATGAAACCATCATCCACGCAGCGGGATCGGCAACCGCCCAGTGATACGCCACGACAATGGGTGGAAAAATCACCGGGTGGAAATTAGGGGGTGGCGTGGCCGGCATCGCATTGAGTTAAATTGTGCTCGAGGTGATATTTCGCAACTTTTAAGCAACATGCGAATTAAGGAAACCACCGTGATTGTCAATTAAGGGGTTGTGTCGACTCGCTCGTGTGGTTTTTCCATCACCACCCCCGGAAAAGTGGGCCATGCGAGAGAGATGGAGAGAGAAAAAAATGCCGAGGAGGCGCAAAAAAGAGTCACCCACAGAGAGAATTTGAGACTGGGAATCGTGTGGGGAGTGGAAACGGGCTTGAATAGGAGAGACCTCGAGAGCTACACACAAAGTTTGAATTCGCAATTCAATGAAATTCGCTCGCTTGAGTTCAATACAATGAGAAAATGATTACGATCTATTCCTTTTCCACCATCAAGAACACACCATCTCATTCTCTGGCTCCTTCAGAAAATCCTCTCCTCCACAACCCCCCAAGCCACCACCCCCGAAAGGCGCCCATTCGCAGTGTGGCATTGCATAGAAAGTTGTATGACAAACCGTGTCTTCTTCAACATTTTCCACTTCTTTTGTGCGACCAAGACACTGCGACTCATGGCTTTTCACTTCGCTTATAGTTGAATGTATTTTCTAATTTTTCTCCTTTCCCGGCATTTCTTCCCTCTTTTTTCCTTTTGGCTATTGCACTCAGAACTTCCTCTGATTGACTATTCTCTCCCCTCCTTCCGTCGATACCCTCGCATTTTTTCCGCCACGCTTGAGGAGAAGTGGACAAATATTTGATAAAATGCGTGAAAAGGATGTATTAAATGTCAGCGGAATTGTTCATTTCGTCCTATGATATCAATTTTCCAAGGATGAGTGCATCATTGAGGGTGAATCTCGAAAGGGGAGTTTGTGTGTAAAATTAAGCCTCGACCATCAAATGTAGTTATGAGATCCACTAAGATGAAACTTTGATGCTGGCTTATACAATTTTCATCCCATGCAGAGCATACGGAGAGAGTAATTCACCATATTTAGCATAGAAATTAGTCAAAGGGATCTGAAAACAATCATACCTCGCACTCCCCCGAATGCCGGCACGTTGTCAAAAGAGTGGATGTTGTTCAATCGATGAGATGGCTGAGGATCAAACAGCTCTCAAAGTGCTCTATATATGTACATATCTGCTTCCCATCCATTGGGGGGAAACAATGAGTTGACTGATAACGCGTTCATTCAATAATTATTATAGATTTTAAACAGGAAAACTTTTCCATGTTGCCAGAGAGCTCGACAGAGGCGGGGAAAGAGTGAAAAGCTCACATAATGCGCCATTATATCCTTTGTGTGGTAGTTTTCAATGTGCGGGATTTTCGGTTAGAAAAGGATTTATTCATCCCCAATTCCTCAAGCCGTCCTGCTAGAGTCACTTTTCCCCATCTTTCTTCTCTCTCTCCCCCTCTATTATGCCGGCACTGTCGACATGGTGGGAAAATTTCCCTGGGCGCTGGTCTGGGGGCGGCGGCGGCTCTTTCATAATCGCCTGACATGCCTCCCGCCGCTCCCGTGCACAGACCACAATGAGACCCCCGATATGATGGTCGTTGTCGTCAATTCAATTAGAACATATCAGAGAAAACAATTAACAAAGATGAATTCGTTATAAACAAGAGAAGCGACCGCTTTTGTGCTGGGAGAAAGAGCATAAATGAGTCTCACTCTCTGTCTTCCTTTTTCTCAAGTTCCACCCCATCGTCCACCCCCCAGTCGGAGCACGGGGGATGGGAGGACGGTGGAAATGTGTGATTTCGCATACTTTCACTCCCACATTCCCTCCGCCCCATTCACCAGTCGTCTCACTGCTCCACAGAACATCTATTCAGGGAAAACTATGCTCTATTCAATTACAGCTATTATGAGTGAGTTGGAGAATCACCCCCCAAAGACATGCCTAAATTGACCATCAGGCATAAATACGCCGAGACAGAGTCCCACAAAAGGTCCCACTGTCTCATTATTCTATCATTCAGCAAACAATTCAATGGGGTTTTAGAGGGACGCAAAATGATAAAATGTGTGTCTGGCGAGGCAACTTCAAAACCACCCCCACACACACACGCAGAGCCTCTTCCTCCCCCATCAGTGCAGATTTTGTCGAGATTGAGAGCACTTTTGGACTCAAGTGAGGACATCCAAATTGACGCTAATCAAACAAATCCCTTCTGTATAAATAAATTTTTGTACAAAATTTTTCACGGGCATTTGCACATTACAAGAACACTCGTGGTTGTCCTCGAGAGCTTTTGCACACTCCTTTCGCTCATTGTTGTGTGTCTGTGATGTGACAGAGAGTTGTAATCACACGCCCTCATGTTGGTTTGAGCATCTCATTAGCCACAGTGGACAATTGATTGTGGCGTCGAAAGCGGATGTTTGCACGCAAGGATCTTGCGGAGATCGTCCTGGACAGATTGCTTGAGGTGATCACTTGATAAGCGAACGAGCGATTGAATCTCAACCGCCACGATTATCCAATCCATCAGATCAATTGCATGAGGTGTAAAGTTACCCTTCACGCCCTTCACCCAATTCGTTCTCGCGTGATTTTCCACAATTCACCTCGAGATTAGTGATATTGTGTAGTTCTTTTTACACTTCCTCAATGGTGGTAAATTAAAAAATAATAATTGCCGCTGAGCACTGGGATTGTGAATGTGAGATCAGGTGTAGGTGAAGAGTTTGATCAGATACTTTTTTGCCTCTGGGCTCCTTTTCATCACCCATCCATCCATTGAGCTCGCCATACGTAGTGAAATATTTCAAATAGCATTTATTAATAATGCCACATTGTTGATGGCAATCAACAATGAGTGAATGCCGTCTGTTGTATGGCCAGAGTTATCTCTCGTCCTCTCTTTTGCCTGTTATTATGCCAACACATAAAACCTTCACGTTTAGTGCTAGGCGGACAATAAAAATCTATTCAACGCCAAACTTTTGAATAGCAATTGATAACATTTTCATAATAATACACATTTTGTTATTATACTTTATAACAACACATTCACACACACACACACACGGTGAAGCGCGAAAAATATGATATTTGCGCGCTCTCCTTCGTTGTCACATTCATCATAAACAATGCATACCTTCCTTTTGGGCTCTTCTGTTCTCCAGCACCATCATCTTTTGCCTCGAGAGAAGCACAGAGAGAATTTTTGTGCTTCAACCACTCTTTTCTGCGACTCCGAAGGAAGACCTCAATTCTGCTATCATCTCCCCACTCTTGCCCGCACACAATTTTTCATTGTGGACAAAAAGACATGAATAAAATTCATTTCACTCAATGAAATTCTCCCATACAAAATCACAATTCACAATTATCCCTGCCACGAGCTTTTGTGCCATTCAAATTCGTCATTAGGCAAATTGTTGGGCGGGAGTTTTTGCATATTTGGGGAGATTTTCCTATACAACATACCTGGCGGTGTGCTATCCAACCGACGAATGCGGAATAATCCACTGATTTTTCTAATCCTCTGGCGGCACATCACAACAGCGCAAAACACTAACTCTTCGCCCTCATCCAGGAAATGGCACAGAATTTCCACACCACTGACTGATCATCACTTGCATCGCCACGTGCCACGCGCGTCGCGACAGTCATCCTTCGCAGATGGCGAATTGATCTTCACGGCACCAGCACGGGGGACAAACTGAGCGTGCAGAGCTGGGCCGCCGTTTGGCGCCTCCGGAAGGCGCATCGCGGATGGCGGGGAAGCAGGTTCACTTGAGAACACTGTGCGCGCGCACTCTATTCACATCCATCGAGGGCACAGTGTTTGTGGCCAGAGAGCGAGAGAGCGAGCTCTGAAATATCCCGCCAGAATTGATAGTGAATACAATTCACGCACACACAAGAGTGGTTAAATATCATAATTCTCTCTCTTCATCATCATTTTCAATTCAACGTATTCACCCAACTTTACAATAAAACACAATTCACAGTGTGACGAGAAAGAAATTGCCTCCTGAATGGACGACGAGAGTTTGGGTGTCTGTGAGGGTGGTTTTTCGCCTCTCGACTTTTCACATCATCGCGTTTCTATTGCTCTTTAGCATTTTTTTTTTCGAAAAATGCCCTCAAATCACCCCCCGAGAATCCACACTGATCGCGCGCAAACTGTTGCCTCGGGCATTTTTTTTTCTCTTGTCGTAAGTTGGCAGTGGATAATTTTTTGCGTAATCTCTTAATTTCATCAGCGCTTCCTTGCAATTTCAACGTGTGCCTTTTACAAAAAGGAAATATAGCATAAAACAGTCCTGCAGTGGCACAATAAAAAGAGAAGATTCTCCACCAACAACTGGAGCTCTTTGCCACATCGTGTGGCGATGGTATCTCCACGAGCAAACCCAACTGTGCTGCATTGGGTATTAAGTTTAAAAGTTGAGCTTGGAGCCACGCTCTCTTCTTCTCTTTCTTGTTCCGTTGAGTTCTTTTGAATTGGAAAATGCTTTGCTTCACTTTTCCTTTGTTTTCGCTCCTTTTGCCTCCTCACAAATATAATTCTGACGAGGCAGATTCACTATTGTGTGGCTCACACACACTCCATCATTGCTTTTCTCCATGTCATTCCTGGGTGTGATTACACTACACTGCGATAATTCCAGGCTGAGGAAATGTGTCTCTTCTCCTGCTCTCATTCACTCTCTCGGGACTGCCGAATGATCGTCATCTCGAGATTTTTGGCATTTTATTTGCCTCGTGATATCAACTCCCCTTTTGTCTGCACACACAGAAGACTTTAAAGATGAGCGCTTCATGGCACATTTCTGGGTGGTGTCGTTGGAGCTGACTCTTCATCTTCCTACCCATTCACTCATTGTTTTGTCGTCATCAACACAGCATCATTGTCCAAACGAAGCCACTCGACATCTCTCACTCAGCCGGCCAAGCTAGACAATAAAGCTCCGCTCTCTTGCATCTACAAGACACCATCGTCTACGCACCCAAACAATCCACTCTCGTCACCCATTGTTGATATTGTCACATTATTATTACTACAATTGCCAGCGAGATAGAGGATGTTTGCGACTCTTCGACTGTGGGGATGGAAAGTAGCGGCGTTGATTCTTCTGGGACTCTCTCGCATCGCCGCAACCAATTTTCCCAATTGACAGAAACAACGGCGAAATTCCTAGGCGTCACTTTGGCTATCCTATCGTCACTCATCTCTTCTGTCTCTCTCTCCGCTCCAAAGTGTTACGTCTCTGACGCTTGTCTTAGCCATTGTGTGCAGTCTGAAAAGTGCCATGGAGAGAACAAAACAGCTCGTCGCAACGCAAAACCCACCGCATTCACTCGACTCTCTGTTGTTTGGCCGCACAGTTGAAAATACAATGGATTTTATACATTTTCCCTCAGCTATGACAATCAATTATTTGTCTCTCTATCCCTTCTGTGCCACTCTATCCCCCGCCTCCCCCTCGGCCAGACAAGAGGAAAACTCTGTCAATGCACGAGTGCAGTGGCCAGAGATCATCGATTTTGCACCTGAAATGTTCTGCCATTCTCACAAACAAACACCATTATTAGCCTTTTTCCAAGTCACTCAAGAATATTTATTTCACTCGTGAATCCATTTTTCATCCAGTTAACTAGAGAATCCATTATGCCAATTCCTCAATGACTTTCAGGGTGGTTAATTGCAGAAGATAATAAAAACCATACGACATGTATAGTATGAAATATAGATCAAAAAGGAAGTTCGCTCACTTGTCCTCCGCCATTGACACCGAAGTGCTCACATCATCGGCCGGCGTCTTGCTCTTCTCCCCCACTTTGGGCGGCGTGCCACTCCTGCGATACTCCTTCGACGACCTCTTTGCGAAGCGATCCCTCTGCCTGTCCTCGTAATCGCTGTTCCTGTCAAAGCTGCCATCCCGATCGAAGCGCCGATCCCTGTGATCATCTCGACCACGCGGCACATATCGCGGATTGCCGCGACCCCTCGGCCTGAACGGACGATCCCTGCCGCGACCGCGGAAGTCTCTCGTGTCGCGGAAGTTGTTGCCGCCACGTCCGCGATATCCTCCGCGCGGATTGAAGCGCGTCTTGTAGAAAGATCCGCGATCGCGATCGTATCCGTGACCTCCGCGGAAGTTTCTCTTCTCAAATCTGTGGCGATCGAGACTGCGCGAGCGTGAGCGACTGTAGGACTTGCTGTGACTGCGATATGAGCGAGATCTGGAGGATCTGGAGCGACTGTATCGCCTCTTGCCATAACTCAGCGAACGCGATCGACGCCTCGGTGGTGTGCGTGATCTCGAGTGACTCGAGCTGCTGCGTTTCCTGCTCTTCGAGCGACTGCGACTCTTCCGCTGAAACGGCGCCGGACCTTTGGGCGACATGCGATCAGTTGTTGCCAGACGGAAGCTGCCAAACTTATCCAACACCACAGGTGTATTCTTAGCCGATGTCTTTGACGTGTCGTACTTCTTTTGCCCATGCGGACTCGAGCGGCGTCTCTTGTCGTCATCGCGTGACTTGTAGAATGAGCCAGACGAAGAGGCCGACGGTGGTGGTTGACCCAGATTGTTGTCCTCCGGGTCGGAATCCTCAGAATCACCCATGAAGGGATGTTGCTTCGGCAGAGGTCCCTTCGATGTGGACGGCTTCACGTCCTTCTTCTGATCCTTGTTGAAAATCATCTTCCATTTGCCCTCCGGATAATCCTTCTCTGGCGTCTGTCGCTTCATCTTCCCCTTTGAACTGTGATAATGAAGAATAATCAGACAAATTCCCCTTCAAGACAGTCTTTTCAAGTTCGTCTACTCACTCTTCATCCATTTTCGAATCACCCTCCGACGCTTTCCCGTAAATTGAGGTCAACTTGGATCCCAACTCGTCCAGCACCGGCAACTTCTCAAAGATCCTACCGCGAAAAAAGAGACACATTTCAAAAAACCCACTCGCCAATTCCACAATCACACACTATTCATACTTGAGAGCTTCACGGAGTTTCTTATTCTCCAACTCATCCAGCTCAATCTTGTCCTTCTTCGTGGTCTTCTTCTTCTGATCCTTCTCCTTGCGCTTCTTGCGACTCTCCTTCTTCGACTTCTTCCCATCCTTCTTCTTCTTCTTGCGCGTCTTCTCCTCCAGCAACTTCCTCTCCTTGCGATACTTGGACGCCTCCTCGACAAACTTCCTCACCTTCTCCTCGTAGTTGTCCTCATCGCGCGTCATCTCCAGAAACTGACGCACCTTCATCTCGTACTCATCAACAACGGGCGGCGGTGGCGGAGCCTGCGGCACAGCATCATTTCCTAGGATAAGATTGATTTGTATTTGATAGTTGATCGAATTATTTGGCTTCCAGTTATATCACTCACTCATCATTGCCATCCTCTTGCTCAGCGGCGACATCGACTTCTCGCGCTTCTTCTTCGAGCCCTTCTTCTTCTTGCCATGGGACTCATCTGAACCTGGATGAGGAGGGGTATGTGTTTCGTTACATTTTATCCCTCCACAAAAAGCATCTTTCTAAAATATCACTTCATCAACCTAAAACAGCAGTGAGAATAGTGTAAAAGGAATCACTGGGAAAACTTACCAGATGACGTCGATGATTCGCTATCGCTTGATGAATCACTGTCAGATTCACTACTCTCACTCGAATCACTGCTGGATCCACTCGATGAACTGTACTTCTTGCTGGTCTTGCTCTTTGGCTTCTTCTTCTTCGACTTCTTGTCCTTCTTCGAGCTTCCGCCCAGCACATCGTCCAATTTCCTCTCGCCCATCGTCTTGGTGTTGAAATTCAGTGCTACAAAAAAGAGCGATATTTTTTCATTCTCTGAAGCATATATTCTGAGAGAGAGAAAGAAAAACTCACCAGGAAGTTCCAATTCTCCTGGCTCAAACAGCATCGACGGCTTCTGGGATCGATTCTTGAGATACTCCAGAGAATTGATAGCCTCTTCGTGGTGTGGAATGATAACAAGACAGTCCTGATAGGCCTTCCTCGCCTCCTCCACCTTATTCTCCTCCTCGTAGCTGCGACCGAGGGCCACTAAAGTCTCTCCCATGTACTTCCGAGCATTCGCATGGCTTGGATTCAGCTTCAGAGCCGTCTCGAAGTCATCCACTGCCTTCTTGAAGGACCCACTGTTGGCGTACAGAGCTCCGCGCGCCACCAATCCCTCCACATTGCGCGGATCGATGTTGAGAGCTTTGTTCAAGCACTGAAATGCCTCCGAATGCCGCCCAACCTTGAAGTGTTCTATTCCTTCGGCGACAGATCTATTTTGAAGGAGACAGACACAATTGGCATTTAATGGCACTCATGGGCATAAATAAATCACTCACCGAAATGCCCACTTGCTGGCCTGCACCTGACGCAACTCATTGGAATACTCCTGCTGCGGGAATCTTCCGCGCAGACTTGACATTATTGTGTAGTGTTCGTGTGGCGATAAGCCAACACTTTCGAACAGATACTCCTCACAGAAGGGATTATTGAACGTTGTCGAAGACTGCAACACTTCCTCAAAGCTCTGACCCTTCTTTTCCGCTGTCAACCTACGATATTTCGCGGTGGAAAATCGAATGGGAGAGAAGAAAAGAAACAAAACAAATGTGTCTTTTAGCATTTTTCAAGAACATAAACAACATTATTTTACACAACACAAATGCCATTTAATCATTTACAAATCAGCGGATTGTATGCTTTTTTTGTAATCCTTTTTGAATACCTGGAAGCAACTCTACTCATTAGTCAATCTAATATCTTTCGCACTTTGCTTCAGTTTCTCTGTCAGTCTTTCTCTCAGAGTATCTCTCTCTCTCTCATCTAGATCTTTTTGTCAGGACGATTGAAATTCGCATTTCATATTCTGTTTATATATTCTGCTAATAAAGGTTTCCCATATTATATGGTTTTTTTTTTGGTCATAAAAATATTCAATTTGGATTCGAAATATTTATCCAAATTTGCTCTGTTCATATAAATTGAACTGAAAAGAAAAGAACATACTTTTATTTCATGGTTTACATTTTATTCTTATTTCAGTATCCACCAAACATTTTTTTCTTCGATTATATTATGCTCATTTTTAAGCCATCATTTGGTCACATTTCTTTTTTTTTATATCTCATTCTCTCTTTTTGTCTTGTAGCAACAATGTGATAAAAACAGGTATTTTGGGGGGAATTGTTATTTAGGGTGGAGGGAAAAAAACAGTAAGTCCAATAAAATGTGTACAGAAGAGAGAAAAGTGAGGATATTTTCTTTTTTTTCCTTTTGAACTTGTCATGAATTTTATTGGAAAAACTTACTTGTAGAAGTCAGGAAAAGTTTCTGGACTAACAACACCTGTCGTGTACTGTTTGTCACCAATTGTGTGCGTGTTTCCCTTCATTTCGCACACCAATTTCTCCGTATCCGGCGTCACTTCTTGCACCTCACAGCAAACCACATTTCCACTTGCCAAGGCTCGATTTACAGTCTTCTTATCAGCCGAATAGGTGTTTGAGTACGGCAAATAAGCCTGAAGAGAGAGTCAGAAAAACACCGTGTAAGAAACATATCTGGGCTTCTAGATGATTCTCAGCACTCAATCGTACCTTGATTGTTAAGTCTTGGACGAATCTGTTTCGAGATCCCGCCGTGCAGGCAACTTTGAGGATATATCCCGGCGCAGACTTGTTCATAATAGTCGCAAAGACCAAATCTCCCGGTTGAATGTTCTGCAGATTCATCAAATCAGTGAATATTTCAACAATCTGCGTCTTCTCTTGCACATGCAATACTCACATTATAAAAGTGCTTTGTCCTTCCGCTTTTGTCTAATGGCAGGAACGTCTCGAGGAGCGGAATTTGCTTGGAAGCATCTGCAATACGTCCACAGTGATTGTCTTGTCGAATTTTTTAATACATGTTGAGAGATATTTGTGTTCTTTTTTTTGCAAACATCACCTTTTATCAAATCATCGTCGTCAAGCGAAATCGTGGCATTGCTCTCGATGAGACCTTCACTGAAGAGTTGCGGTGCATTTTTCGATATGAACTGATGTAATTTCAAACGCTTCGCGCGATCTTGAAATGTGAGATTCTTCTGGCGCGACTGATAAACGGAATAGTCGAGATTTTGCACGCCCCATTTTGCCAAATCACTCTCACCACGTTCGCCCTCCCAAATCTTCTGGAGCGGCAATCCGTGGTAGTTGAGAGACTTCTCAATCAACTTGGACGACAATGGCTCACTGTCCATTATCACTTGTGCTCCGTGTGGGAAATCAATTGGGAAAGAATGTCTAAAAGTACAGAGAAAGCAGTTGAATATCCAGGCATGTTCGTTACAGCAAATGTGACAGAAAATCAATTAATTACATGGTGTTGTGAATAATCAAGCATCCTTTTTACTCTGACGCTAACAATTGTAATGAAAAGAACACATTCAGACCTTGAAAGTCCTGAAATAAGAACCTTCATGATGCCAGAATCAGGTTTAATGTGCTTCAATTTGTCCTTTTTGGATTAGAGGTCAAATATTTCACCCCTTGCAATAGCTAATCTCAAAAAATAGTCACGGTTTTCTAAAGAGAAAAGCCAAAATCAAACATATTCATGCCAGAAGCAGATTAGTAAAGCAGAAGAGTAATTTCTTCAATGCTTAGCAAGGCTAATTTGTCTCTGAGATGGAATTTTCTTACACTGGAGAATGTTTGAGTATAATTCTTCATTTCATTCAAAATGTTAAAATTGTAGTCAGAAAATAAAAGGTGCGTCACTATTCGCAACACTGTGCTGTGCATATTTGTCAAATGACTAGCAAAAATTACAAAATATTACTCACTTTGTGCGAAGCTTCTCAATATTCAATTAATTCGCGAATCAATCCATTCTGCGTGCACTTTTCATAAACTTTTCAATGCTCTAATTTTTTTTTCTCTAATCTCCGGGATCTTTTTTTACCAAACAAAATACACGCTTTTCAGCGGACACAAGAGTGAGTGAACGCCGGTGATCTCTCTGCGGAAAACGCTTTCCTGTACGCCACTAGAAACATAAGTGATACTTTCAAAAGAAGCCTGCCACAGTATCTTCTCTTTGGTGGTGTTATTCAGCTGCAAAACCAATAGTAATACACAAAAGAGAAAGTTTTTTCTCAAATCACGATGCCTTTTGAGACTCTCTCTTGGTCTCTGCGAACCAGGCGACAAATGGCAAGATGGCGACCTTGCTCGTTTTCAATGCATTTTTCAGCTATTCAGACAATTAGGAGCACATAAATTTCATGTTAGAACATAGCATGTGTACCTGATTTATCGGGTTGTGATATTGCAAAGTCCGGCGAAGCTGGTTTTTTCACGCAAAAATGTGATTTCTCCTGGCGATGAAAAACATTCGCATTTCCACTTTATCACCACTTTCACTTTGACAGCGGCAATTTCACCACTGTCGGAAGCCATTGCAGTGGTGAATAAACCCATTGTTTTGTTTACATCCCACTTGTGGGCTTTTCAATTAATTTTCAATTGCATTTACTTGATGGATCTCACTCAAGCCCTTTCCATTTTCCAACTGAATCTCCTTCTCTGATCGCCACTGCACTTTTCTGGTGAGTCGCTTGCTGAATATGACTTCTGCAAGAGTGTTGAAATCAGCTAAAATGCTTATCTGAAATTCGATGCTTGGACGCGGAACTACAAACATAGGGCAATAGAACTATATCTGTGTCTGTATTGATACGATTAATTGCAGCTCGGAATTAACTTTGGACTCTAGTTCAACGGGAGTGTGCCTCAGGCGAGCAGTGCTGAAATGTCAAAGGTTTTCCGTATGCTGATTATGGGCGCTCCGGCGTCCGGAAAGGGCACCATTTCGGGGCGGATCGTGAAGAGGTTCAACTTCCAGCACATCTCCAGTGGGGATTTGCTGCGACTGAACATGGACAAGAAGACTGAACTGGGCGTGAAGGCGGCCAAGTATGTGAATGCTGGCCAGCTGGTGCCGGACGACCTGATAATCTCCTGCGTGGTGGACAAGCTGAACACCGAGACGGCTTCCCGGGTGCTTCTGGACGGATTCCCGCGGACACTCCCGCAGGCGGAGAAGCTGGCCACTGTGCTGCCGCTGGAGGCTGTCGTGAATCTCAATGTGCCGTACGAGGTGATCATCGAGCGCGCCAAGAGTCGCTGGATCCACCTGCCGAGCGGACGAGTGTACAACATCGGCTTCAATGAGCCCAAGGTGCCCTTCAAGGATGACGTGACGGGAGAGGATCTGGTGCAGCGACCAGACGACCATCCGGACGCCGTGAAGAAGCGCCTCGAGATCTACGACGGCATCACGAAGCCCGTGCTGGAATACTACAAGGCGCAGGGCATTATTGTGGAGTTCTGGGGGAAGACCAGCGATGCCATTTGGCCCAACGTGGAGCAATTTCTTGCCAAGAGCCTCAATGAGGCGGAGACACAGCAGAAAGCCATCTGAAAGGCATTCGAGAGTGCGCACAACCTATTCTTAATTTAGCACTTACATTTTGCAACATTTTATTTTATTGAATTTCATGGGAAGAGAATTTCAATGTGTTTTTCACACAATTGGGTATCGGGATCAAGTGTGGGTGAGAAAGAGTTACAAAAGACATTGGAGAAATGCAGTATTTTTGCTCAATAAACTTCCATGAAGGGAAATGCCGCCTTTTCCGGCTCTAGGAGATCCGCCAGGAAGCAAACAGTGCCCGCCACACCTTCGTAGAGACTGAAGGGACGATCAGGAATGCGAGCTTTTATCCTGAACTCCGGATCGCAGAGGAAATCCATGAATTTGCTGGCGCGATAGAGGTACAGGGGATTCTTGGTGATTTGGTGCAGCAGCAGAAAGACGTACGCATTGCCAGCAACTCCGTGGCAAATGCCAGGACCCTTGAGAAGAAGTCCCTTCTTCCACACCAAATCAGCCGCCAGCTTGAGGGAATTCAAGTATTTCTCATCGCGAAAGACAAGGTAGGCTTTGGCCAGTAGATAGACAGCTCCGGGCGCACCGTGACACCAGTGAACCAGGCGTTTCTCTCTGGTGCTGTCCATGGTGATGGGAAAGTTTCCTTCGGCGTCTTGTAGAGCTGAAATGCAAAGAAAACGATTGTTAAGAGGCCTTGGCGGGGTTTTAGCCGAAAATTTCTACCCAGGAATCCATCAATTGAGCCCTTAATCAGGTCCAGATGCTTGGGAGATCCGTCAGCGAACCATGGCGAGTTCAGGAGCATGTGGTAGATGGCACAGACCCCGTGGGCTGCGCCCAGGTACTCGCTGTCATGGTACTCATACATCAAGGGCAGGAGGGAACGTTTCCGGTGGCTGTACTGCACTCCGCTCTGCACCATTGACTCGCATATCTCGAGGATTTGGTCTGCCGTGAAGGGAGACTGCGGAAGAGTCCTCTGCAGCCAGTAGACACCGCTCAGGAAGCCCGCTCTGCCCACTAGCACTTCATCGGAGCCGTACTTGTTGAAGTTGATGGGCTTGCACGCCCCAAAGCCGGCCGAGAAGCACTCCAGATCTTTCTGACATTGACCCTGGTCGCCCAGTTCCTGTGAAATGACTGCTGAGACTGCGTAGATGCCGGCATTGCCGCAGAGAAATGCGCACCTCTCGTCAGATCTCTTGGCGAAATGGCGAGCGTTTCCGCGGGCTCTCTCTATGTACTTCTGGGCATGGGCCAGGGCGCCGGGAAACTTGTCTCGCAGCACCGGAGACTTGTGAATGCGGTAGAACATGTAAGCGATTCCGGCATTGCCCACGTACAAATCTCCGCGGAGATCATGGTTGGGGTTGTTGGTGTTGGCCAGAATCACCCCCACATATTCGTCCACGAGTCCGCACACGCGATTCACATTCACCTGCACCGGGACGGAGGCGTCGAAGTCAGGGAACTTGTTGGGAAAGTATCGCGACGGCATTGTTTTGATGTTGCGTGATATTTGTTTACTCTCTTCACCTTTACCCGGTCGTCCCGGTTCCTCAATCGGAAAGCGCTTATTTGCTCAGTACGGGCGGCTTTATTTGTATTCCATATTCAACAGGGCATTCAAGGATCTCTAGAGCTAAATTCTTACATCGAGGAATTGATCTTCCTGAGGCGAGCCTGTCGACTGTGATGTCTGTTGTGAGCGGCTCCCACTTCAATCTTGATATTCTTAGCAAACTCTGTCTCCGCCAAGTTCGAGGCGTCCTTCCACACCTGTATGAATCTGCATTCTCTGAGCGGGTGTTTCTTGTGCACGCCAGTGTAGTTGTATTCCATGATCAGGTTGTCGTCCATTATGTCCTTCAGCTCTGCATTCTGCACGAAATTCACCTGCGAAATGCCAAACAGGAGTTCAGTTTAATTGAATCACACACACACTCTTAGATCTAATGTCCTTACAAAGGCTGCCTCAAAGTCAGCATCGTCCAGCATATCGTCGAAGTCCTTCACCTCCTGGAAACTCTTCATGGGCAGGAGTTTGGTCACAATTGACGAGTTCGTGACAACGACAGGCCCGGAGGAGTTCCTTATCCACTTCTCGATGTTTGTGATCCTCTTCTCCATGTTCAGCAGCAGCATGTAGATGTCATTGAGGGAGGCATTGTCTGTCGCACCGCCTGGTCTGGGTCTCTTCCTCTTCAGCACAATGCGAATCTCATCGTCGGAGTCTGCATCTCCCTTGGCTCCAGTCCGTGCATCTCCCTGGATCTCGTACTGGTTATCCACGCTCACTTCAAATGCATCCAAATCCACCTTCTTCTCCTGATCGCACTCCTCCACGACCATCTCCTCCTCGATTATCTGCTCCGAGAGCGGATCGCCTTGGCTCTCGCTGTGCTCAATTGTCTGCTGCAGGAGGTCGATATAATTGGTATAATTCAAATTCTCCCGTTTCACCACTTTCCGCTGGGAACTCATGATGAATAAATGGTTCCTGATGGACTTCGCGTACCATAAAAGTCTCCTTATGCCTACAACCAAAACAAGCTCTGCTGAACAACCCACAAGCGACATGAACATGCGTGAGGGATGCTTACCAACTCGGAAACACCGTTAGCGCGTTTTGGCGAGGGAAATCCCGCAGAATTGGGCTGTATTTGCGAGAAAATGCGAAATAACACAAACCTCACCCAGCAGACGGCATCAAGTGTCAAACCGAAGCTGTGCTCGGACATGCATGCGCCACAGCGCCCTCTGCGGCGCAGCACTGTCATGCCAGTGCGCACGTCAATGCCACACTATTTCTCTCCATTTTTTGGATGCCACTCGGTGTAAAATGGTAAATTGTGTGAAAAAAGGTATCTCCCATGATTATCGCGGTCAATTTGCAGCTGGTGTTGATATAAAGAGTGTGCTTTTACAAGTGAACAGACATTCGATAGCGAAATCTTCTTGATTGTAGCCACAGAGCTGAGTGAAAACTTGAGCTCCTCTTCTATCAGTCCAATTCTAGGCGCCATATAACAAAAGTCTCTCGTGAGAAGAGTTTTTTTTTTGAGTGAAAAATTTTTAGTTTTAGTTTACTCTCTCCCCCCTGTTAAGTCTTTGTTTTTCCCGGGGATACTTGTTGTGTGTACCACTGGCGTGGTGCTGTGCAATTTGTGACGCCAGAAGGAGACTCAACAAAGGAATCATGCCGAAGAATAAGTCCAAGCGAGGGAAAGGTGAGTTTTCCCCAAATGTACTTTCACTGCTGCCTGTCTCGCTATTTATCGATTTTTCCGCACGTGGTGTGCACACCACAATGGGAAGCACTTTCCCCCCGGAAAATCCATGCTGCGTGGCAGCGCTGGGCCTTATCAGGGCCCGTCGCGCCAGACAGCTCCCGTCATGGCCATCACGGCGTGACCTTGTGACTCGATTTGGCTTAGGCCCCCGCGTGACGTCACTCACGTGCTGCGAATCGGGTTTCACGGAGCGGCGCTGGCGGGGGCGGAGCGGGATGAGTCACGGTATTTCATAACAATGCGCGCTTCCAGGTCGCCTTGTGGAGCTCCACTCGGACGATGAGTCGATCAATGACAATGCCAGCATCATCAGCATGCAGTCGGACGAGTGCGGCGGGAGTCTGGAGGACGCGCCCGAGGATGTGGGCAGCGTGGCGGAGCGCTACGAGGAGAAGTTCATGATGGCGCTGGAGAATTGCTCGGAGAAGTCCATCCAGACGCGCGTCACGGCCCTGCAGTCGGCCAGCGAGATTCTCATGCTGCGCTTCATGCCCGACACCGTGGATGACCGCAAGATGACCCTCATCGACATCATCGACAAGAGCCTGAGGCGGGGCAAGGGCGCGGAGCAGGCGAACGCCGCCAAAATGGCTCCGCTGCTCAGTATCCAGCTGGCTGGGGACGATCTGATCCCGAAGGGCCTCAATCAGACGCTCATTGTCACCGCCCAGGACAATTCTGTGTCCTACGAGGCGCGCGCGAAGGTGAGTCACGCGGCGTTTAGCGAAGTTGTGCAATTATCGGGCATTTCACAATGCATGGAAATGCTCGCGCGCATTGTGGAAGAAAGTGGGAGAAGAAGAAGAGTGGAAAGAGATGACACGAGACGGAAGTCAACCAATTTTCAACTATTGCGAAATGATGTGGAAAATCACCGAATAGTTAAAGAAAATCTTTAAAAGAGCAATTTTAAAGCTACATTTTTGTCTGCCAAATTGTTTGTTTTTTCTGTGATCAAATTGCTATTAACAAATTTGCTCAGGTGATTTTCATTCTCTCCCACATAAAATTCTGTCTCTTACACTCTTCGATTTGCTTCGATTTGTCGCTCAGCCAAGAGAGAGAGCTTGAAAAAAATGAAATTTTCTGTATTTTCAGTGCTGCAGCGCCCTGGGATTGATAAATTTCCTGAGCGAGGACAATATTGGGGACATCTTGAGTCACATGAAGAACTTCGAGTCGATCTTCTGCGGCAGCTTTCTGAAGGGCGACAACACACCCAGCTCCGCGTCCGCCGAAGCTGCGGCGCTCCACAGTGCCGCACTCGGGGCGTGGAGTCTCCTGCTGACGCTCCTGCCGCCGGGCGACTTCGTGTCGTTCATGAAGGAGCGCACGCTGCTGCCGTCGCTGCCGAATCTGATGGGGATGCTGCGGTCACCGCACTTGGAGGTGCGCATGGCGGCCGGCGAGGCGATCGCGCTGGCGCTGGAGTGCGGCCGGGTGCACGATGAGGAGTTCATGGATGAGCATCTGCCGGAGTTGATTGAGATGACGAAGCAGCTGGCGACGGACTCGAACAAGTTCAGGGCGAAGCGCGACAGGAAGACGCAGAGGGCGACTTTCAGAGATGTGCTGCGCTACATTGAGGAGGAGGTGTCGCCGGAGATCAACGTGAAGTTCGGCAAGGAGACGCTGGTGCTGAACACATGGTCGATTCATCATCAGTACACGGCCGTGTGCACGGCCATTGGCTCGGGCATCACGATTCACCTGGCGGAGAATGACTTCCTGCGCGATGTGCTGCAGCTGGGCGAGAAGATCATCACAATTGGCGGCGTGGCGACGAAGCAGAGCAAGCTGGAGAAGCATCTGATCAATGCGGCGGCATTCAAGGCGCGCACAATCTCCAGGAGCAAGCATCGCGACAAGAGATCGGCCGTGATCAATTGATGGGACGCCCAATTTGTAGGCCCAAAATTCGTTTGACTCTCACTTTCTACTTTAGACTCAAAACTTGATACTTTCATTTTTCTGGTTCTCTTCGCTCTCCCTCGGCCGCTCCACTGCCTCACAATGATGATGATGGGCGATGGGAGGGGAAGCTCGATTTGTTTTTAGCTTGATTGAACGATTAAATTTTGTTTGTGAATATATTGATGAAAAAAAGGTGTAGTTGAAAGAATATTACTTTATTTCCTACATATACCAAAATATACATTAACCGTAGATATGTAACAATATATAAATAATAATATGAATTGGGTATGCTTAGGAATTTGTTGATATAAATAGCGTGTAAAAAAATTTGAAGAAAACATTTTGGAAAGAACCTAAATACCTGAGACGAAATAGGTGAATAAACTTAATCAAATATCGGCAACCAGATTCAGGCATGGTTTCAATAGGTCCTCAGGACTCTTGCCCTCCTGATCGTTGTCTATGACGATGTCCCACTCCTCCACGTCGTCCAGATTGCACTCGGATTCCGCGTCATCCACTCCAGGCTGGAAAATCCAGCCTCGCTTGGATCTCGTGGCGTCTGAACACGAAACTTTGATCCTCTGAATCTTTCCTGCGTGATTTTCCGAGAACCAGCGCAGATCAGTTTTCCTCCGGATGTCGCTGACAATACAAATGGGTTTCTGGACTGCAGAGGAAATGAGAAAATGTGTTAAACCCCGGAATTCTATGCATCTTGATATTCTCACCTTTTTCCATTGCTTTTCTGCAAAAAATCCCATAATCTTTTGACCTCTGATCTTCACTCCATTCTATCATCTTTTTCCTGTGCAACTCCTTGTACGGACCATCGCTGAGAAGTTCAGTCAAGCTGAGATTCTGCTCTTTGGCCCAGAAAGCCTTTATGGGTTCGGAAATCCTGGCAATTTCGCACTTATCAGTGCCCAAACTGGAGGAAAATCAGGAGAAAACATCGAGAGAAATTCATCAGCACAGCATAAATTCCTTGAAACACTCACATTTTGAGCAGGTGTTCAGTGAGAAAGTCCTTCCCACTCTTTCTCTTCCCGCTGAAGAGCAAAATCGCCCTCGGATTCTCCATGTAGTGCAAAAATTCTTATCAGAAAATGCTTGCGAAGCAAAATAAACAAAAAGTTGGCAATCGCGAAACTCGTCTAAAGGTGTGCGAGTGTTTCGCGGCTCGTCCGCGCCACGTGGTGGCGCTGCCGAGAGGGTGATTGCAACGCTCCCGGCGGTGTGGTGTTGAAGCAGGGCCACGTAGCTCAGCGTGTCAAAATTTCTTCCGACAAGAGTTCACAAACAGTCGTGCGTTGGTGTAGTTTCTCCAGCGGATTTCTCGTGTTTTAGTGTAATTTCCAACGGACCGCCACCATGGGGAGTAAGTATGGGGGGCGCTGAAGGGGAGGCTGTAGCAGGATTCCTGGGATTAGGCGTAAATTCATGGAAATTTCCATGGAAAATCGCGAGTGTGAGATTTCTCCTAAATTTTGCTTACGTATACACACAAGATGGGCCATTTACCGTAATCCCAGGAATCCCAGGGTCTTCTGCGGGGTGAAAATACATTCCCGGATGAGGTACTAACTCTGGGCTCCTTTCAGTTAAATTCCTGGAGGTGATAAAACCCTTCTGCAGCATATTACCTGAGATCGCTAAGCCAGAGAGAAAGGTGAGTCCTTCCGGACAATCGGCGCGGATTTGTCAGGATCCCTGCTCATCCCTGAGTCCCGAGGATGAGGGGTTTTGAGTTTGGGTGGGGGGAAAGGGTGCCTCGTCACCTCATCATGTGTCACATTTCCCGGCCACTTTCTAACCTCATTTTCTCTCTTTTCTCTCTTCCTGACTCGCAGATCCAGTTCCGGGAAAAGGTGCTATGGACTGCCATAACACTCTTCATCTTTCTGGTGTGCTGCCAGATTCCCCTGTTCGGCATCATGAGCTCCGACTCGGCGGATCCCTTCTACTGGATCCGTGTCATCCTGGCGTCCAATCGTGGCACACTGATGGAATTGGGCATCTCACCGATCGTCACATCTGGTCTGATCATGCAGCTGCTGGCTGGCGCGAAGATCATCGAGGTGGGTGACACGCCGAAGGACAGGGCGCTCTTCAACGGTGCCCAGAAGCTGTTCGGCATGGTGATCACCGTGGGCCAGGCGATCGTGTACGTGATGACGGGCATGTATGGCGAGCCATCGGAGATTGGAGCCGGCGTTTGTCTGCTCATCATCATTCAGCTGTTCGTGGCGGGCCTGATTGTGCTGCTGCTGGACGAGCTGCTGCAGAAGGGATACGGCCTGGGGTCGGGAATCTCTCTGTTTATCGCCACGAATATCTGCGAGACGATCGTGTGGAAGGCCTTCTCGCCGACCACCGTGAACACGGGCCGCGGCACGGAGTTCGAGGGCGCTGTCATTGCGCTGTTCCACCTGTTGGCCACGCGTCAGGACAAAGTGCGCGCTCTCCGCGAGGCGTTCTACCGCCAAAATCTGCCCAATCTCATGAACCTGCTCGCCACGGTTCTCGTCTTCGCCATCGTGATCTACTTCCAGGGCTTCAGAGTGGATCTGCCCATCAAGTCGGCGCGCTATCGAGGGCAGTACAGCAGTTACCCTATCAAACTCTTCTACACTTCCAACATACCAATCATCCTGCAGTCGGCCCTCGTGTCCAATCTCTACGTGATCTCACAGATGCTGGCCGTGAAGTTCCACGGCAACTTCCTCGTGAACCTGCTGGGCGTGTGGGCGGACGTCGGCGGCGGCGGCCCGGCGCGCTCTTATCCTATAGGCGGCTTATGTTACTACCTATCACCGCCGGAGAATGTTGGTCACATTCTCACAGATCCCATCCACGCGCTCCTCTACATCGTCTTCATGCTGGGCTCGTGCGCTTTCTTCTCCAAGACATGGATCGACGTCTCTGGCAGCTCAGCCAAGGACGTGAGTGCCGATCTATAGAGCTGTTGGTGGAACACTGCTCACGCACTTATGTGTCTTTCCAGGTGGCGAAGCAGCTGAAGGAGCAGCAGATGGTGATGCGAGGACACCGAGACCACTCGATGATCCACGAGCTGAATCGCTACATCCCCACGGCGGCCGCCTTCGGTGGTCTGTGCATTGGGGCGCTGTCTGTGCTGGCTGACTTCCTGGGCGCCATTGGCTCGGGCACGGGAATCCTCCTCGCCGTGACAATCATCTACCAGTACTTTGAGATTTTCGTGAAGGAGCAGTCCGAGATGGGTGGCATGAGTACGCTCCTGTTCTAAGAGGCGAGGCGGTCCTCCGCATGCGGGATTGGATAGTAATACAAGGAAAACAAAAAGACTTGCTCCCGGGTGGCAATTAAATTGAATAAGAGAAATTACAATGAAAAGGATTTCACTCTCTTGCGAGCGGACAAACAGCGGAATGGGCGCAGATTGATGTAGTTGGCAAAAGGATAAAAAAAACAAACAAACAAACAGAATGCTGGAGGAGTAATTGTTAACTACATTTCATTTTTACTTACAACTCATGCAGACATTAAGCATTAATTTAATGTTAACTTGAAGAAAGATATTCTCTTATTTAAATTCCGTGTAAAGATCAATACAAAATAAGATTTATATTTCACCTGAAACTATTTTATTCCTCAGGCTCATTCCAAAGGATCGATTGCATTTGCATTGCATGGGCGAAGAGTGAATGTATTTTTGGAAATGCTTATTTAATTCTGGGAATATTAAATTTCTTAACATGTGGAGTCGTTCCAGTTGCTCGATTTCACTGAATTTTTGGGTTTTGTTGGTGAATCACAAGTGTGAATCATGGCTGAAGAGTGTTGCAATCTTCCAAGGTAAGTGTCTTGAGCTGCAATACATTAAGGCGGACATGAGATGTAATGATGATGGAGAAAGTCAATAGATGAATGTAAGTTTACTAAATTTGCACCATCACAGTTTTTCGCTCAAGAATAAGGCAATAAATAAATTGTAAAATTTCTCTGTTTCTCACAATAACCTGCTTTATCTATCGTAAAAAATTTTATCTGATTTGCACACTTACGCGACTTCAAAGAAGTAACTTTGAAGGTTATAACTCTACTTAATATACCAAGTTTTTCCAACGTGCAGAAACACTATAAAAGTTGGAAAATATCGTGACTGCATCGTTGAGAAGAAATGCGAATTTGATTAAATTATTTGTATTGAAATTTCAGAGCAACGTTCAGTGTGCAGAAAGCATATTCTGTTCGAGATGCAGCAGAATTTATTTTCGTGTTCCTATTGGAAGTTTGCGCATCTGGACGAGTGATTCCTGTGAGCTCGCTCTCCTCTTTTTGCCACTTGGAGGATGTGCACTTGAACTTAAGGCATGTTGCTGTGAAATATTTCTGGGGAACAATATCGATATCTCGTGCCAGGGGCTGAATAGGAGCGAGGAGAGCCAGAGGGAAGGCCGAGGAGGAGGGCCAGAAACGAGCATGAGTATCGCATGTTGAGCAGAGAATGTGCTCGTAAAAAGGCTCCCCAGAACAGGCAATCGACATGGGAGAGATTGGGCGCAATTCCCCCTCTGCGGAGCATAAAATAAACTTTTTGCATAGAATCTCTCGATGGGTGAAGGGTATTGAAAGTCACCCTCTCTCGAACCGCCCAAGATGAGTTGTGCTCTATGCGAATTGGTGTGAATTTTCCTGGGCGGCGAAGTCATTTTACAAACACCCCCCGGAATGTTATTATATCCAATCTGACCACTTGTTCGGATGCTTGGCCGGGGAGCTTTCTGTACGGTGTGTGATGAATAACAAAGGGCAGCGAAGAGTGCAGCCGCTGGGCTTTAGATTGCAGTTTTAAAGGCTTCGTGCTCACGTTTCAAAGGGGCGAAGCCACTAAATGTCGTGCCTTTGTTGGTCCATCTCGGGCACTCATCCAAGATGAGAGGGATCAACAGTGTTGTCGCTAGTGGGGAAGACAAAACTGTTGAGCTTTCACATTCAGCTTCCGACTCAGCTTTCGCCTTTTGTTATATCAATTCAGATATTCGTGTTGCTTTTGCTGCTTCCACTTCACATTCTCCTCAAAGCTTGGAGAGTCCTTTAAATTTTTTATCAGCGCACAAGGGTAAGTTTTCATTGTCAATCCAATTGAAGTGCTATTAGTCATACAAATGATGTGAAACAATGGCATTATTGACGTGAAAGACGCGAAAATGATCCTGAAGTGTAAAAAGACGAAACTCAGATCTCTGAACAATGTCTTAATCTATATAAAAATTTGCCAAAAGTCTAACAGATGCTGTTTTCCCTGGGATTATTGCTGGAAATAATTGGAATCAGCACTAAAATAATTATTCTTGGAACATTTCGTGAGTAATCTTTCATCCTAAAATGGATTGTGTGTGGAAAAGATTGCATTTCCTGGAAATTCATACAACTATCAAGGTATTGAGTGAAAAAATTCTTGAGAAACATGCTACATTAAAGTCTTTTCATGCCTTCCAGCCACCCGATTTCCACCCTGTGATTCTTTTCACTTTGGCAGCATTTGTGCTTCTCTCATTTCTCCAAGTGAATGGATGGTGAAGACAATGCTGGGGGAAACGCCTGTCACGGCGGAGATGGGGAAGACAGAGAGGGACAGAGGGTGAGAGAGAGACTGAATGATGAAAATGGAGTCTGAGGTGGAGGAATAATTTCCATTTTCATTGTTATGAAACTTCCGCAATGGCAAAAGTGGCTTTCAGTGAGCTGTGATTTCATCCTTAGGCGCGCGCATTTCACATTTTATCTCCAGCAAATACAGGAGAAGGACATGTCTGCTTGTGTGATGTTCAAGGGGAGGTTAGCAAGGAAATAGAGTACACTATCTTTTAATTAAAACCAAGACGTCTAATCGCACAACCAGTCATATAATCTCACTGCAGTGGAACGGCAAGTAAAAAGTACATTTTCCACACTCAGCTCTCTTCCTTTCTGCACCACTTCAACTCATAATTAAATGCATTAAATATTAGTATAATAACTGCAGAGTAGATGTGACATTTTTTGACTACCTTTCATGTTCTGAAATGTGGCTAAAATGTGAGTAAAATGTGCGGCGTGTGTAATGAAATTTTATGCACAAATATCTCAAGGCACATAATCTTGTCATTTAATAAATGTAGATTTTCAAAAGATAATATTTTATTTAGTCTGTACATAATATTTTCAACCAAATAATATAATCTGCCTCTTGGTGATATTTTTCCTCATTTGCTTGTGTGCAGAGCCTCTGTTTTCCTACCCCTTCCGCCAGCCCCATCGACGGGGTGTGGGCGCGCGAATGGGGGTTTTGTGCTCCGACAACCTTTTCGCTGTGGGAAAAACCGCCACTGTGTGTGTGTGTGTGCGTAGTGCCGTGGAATCCCTTTCGTCTGAAGGTATTACACGCAAAATTTTCCTCTCAGCGGCACCCCACGCATCCTTGGGCAAGAGTGAAAAAGTTTTTTGGCGCCTGGCGGACGAGAAAGTGAAAAACCCCCAGCGCGCGAGGATGGCGCAAATATCACGCGCTCCCCAGAGGAGAGAGAAAAAAGCTGAATACTGATAAACTTAATATTTTTCTTGTGTGGGCCAACACGGGACACTCCGTTCCCCTAACTTGTGGGGATGATTTTCTCTCTGTCTGTTCAATAAACTTTCATTGGTCGCACCATCAGATTAGGCAATGTCTGGGCGGTTGGTGAGATTGTTTTCTTGCGTCTCTTCGCAGCTCCCCAATTTTACTCGCTGATGTGCAAGAGCATTTGGGACGAGCTTTACATTTTTTTCCCTCGCCCCCGATACGGTATTCATAAATCCTTCACGTGCTCAAACCTCCTACGCAGTGACAATTTAAGGTTTCGAAAGGATTGGCAGATAGGCGGAGAAAGCCACTTTGAGCGATAATCTGAATTTCAAGCATCCAAGCTCGATTTTTTTTTGAATATTCAAAAACCTTCTTGGGTGTGAAATTTTGCAGGAAATATTCTCTCTAAATGATTACACGGCTAAATGTCTCTCATTTCATGATTTATTGCAGAATATCAGCTCTCATAAATATTCGCAAGGATAGAAGCAATTGAACGAAATGTTTGCCGAAGAACGCTGATGGCGGAAAAAAAGTCTGCTTGGTAGAGATTTTTTCTGGGTATGAGGAGTGGAATTAAAACTTCATTAGCTATGATGCTAGGGCTCGATTAGAAAATTGATGTGGACGGCAAAAGCGGCAGATCTACCCCCAAAATTTTCATCTATACATGCTAATGTTGGCCTGACAATTTAATACACCACGAATGAATTTTAATCCTCCCAACCCCATGACTGGAAAGTGTATCCTAGAGCGTGTCATTTAGTGGTTATGCGGGGTGAAAAGGCCTTTTTTTCTCTCGGCTTGTCGCGAGGCATTACGCTGCAAAATATTTAATGATTTATTTCTCTCTGGCGGTTGGGTTAATCACCAGACGAGCAGCATGGCTTCAGATATCACCGAAAGTCCCACATTTTCGGCCCGCCCTGGAGTGAGACGAGGCTCGCCTTGAGGCCCGCTATTTATAGGTGGTGTGTGCTTGAGAGCTTGTACACACGAGCAAATATCATATGGGGCGGTTCAGGGTGGCGGAATGCCTTAATCACACGCCAAAGGTTTCGCTTTCTCCGTCTGAGTTGAAAGCAATTCACGGCCATTTCGGCGGATCGCGCGGAGGCTAAAAATACGCTCTTCTCCCATGAATATTTTCTGATTGTATACGCGATGGGGTCAAGAATCAATTGGGGGTGCCTCAATGCTATACATGTAATCTACAAATTACCCTCATTAGATCTTTTTTTCGCTCATCCACTCCCCATTTCCACCCCTCTTCGACGCCCACACCTACGGAAGAGATTGTAATCATTTTATAGTTGGAGGGTGGGCAACATCTCAATTTGTCCCCGTCATATTTCCCTCGGACAACACTGTGTCGATAGGGTGGCGGTTTTTTTGCTAACTGCTGAGCAGCACGACACGACAGAAAGGTGGTGAAATATTATCTTATCAGCTCGTTCAATTGAAACCCAATGGTTTTTGCCAACACCCTCCATAGGCAATTTCAGGCGCACTTCTATCCGCGAGGTGAAAATTTGAAATTTATGAGATGAGAAAGCTCATGAAACACCCAAAAGTCTTCAGTGGCAATTGTGGGAAAGCGCGAAGCCGCATCGGTGGAAAGTTTTCCCACCCAGAGTCAAAGTGTCGCGCCGGGAAGTCAGAGATTGAATCAGGAGCTCTGCTGGGGTTTATTGAAATGAATAAGAAAATGGCACAAACATGACTTCCCGCGGGCAATTCACCGAAAAATTTAATGAGAATTAATTACCATGCCTAATTGCTTCATTATATGGAAAAGTGTATTGCTGCGAGGCAAAGTCATTTCGCTACACTGCAATGAAAATTGAAATTGTTCACAACTACCGCACCTGCAACGCTTAGTATTCCCAACACCACAGGCTGCAATGACGCGCTGTGCAATACAGCACCAGCCATGTGATAATTTATTCAAATTGGGATGCATTTGATTTTTGGTTTGAATTCAAACAGCGAGCAGCAATGGAAATTTCACAAATTTCACTGATGAACAATTTCAATAAAAGTTTATGCATACATCTTTTTGAATATTAAAGTTTCTCGTTGAAATTATAGTTTTGTTTCAATATAATTTAAATTATCTGTTCTTGGAACGCCAAGACTTGTAATTTGATCCTGTTCAAATAAATCCTGCGCTCTGTTGGGGAAAAAATAAATAGTTATCCGTGTCACAATTGCCACATGCAAACATTGTGTGGAAAATTAATAGTGTGCAAATTATATATCATATACCGTGTACAGAGATAACATGCAAATTATTTAGAATCTTCTTTTGCCATGTTGTGATTGGAATTTGAACATGATTTACTCAATTAGACTCGCTCTCATCGTATAACTTGATAGTCTATAAAAAGAATTACGTCTGCTTTTATATCGATTGTGTAGCTTATATGGTGTGCGATTTCCACTCCGTCGTACAAAATGAGTCTCTAATCAAGTCTTAATATGAATTTATTGTGGCAGAGTCATGCAACATGCAATAGAAGCGGGGAGGAAAGCGCATTAAAAAATTAGCTAGACTTTTCCCATTATCTCCACAATCTTTCCTCCCCCAATGTTCGTCATGGTGTGTGGGTGGATGAATGGGCGGTGGAATATTGACAGAAATTGAGATTATAGAGTATTCTCTGAGGAATTGCTTTATTGGGAAAATTTCATTTTATCTCATGGAGCATAGCGGTTGAGGCAAATATTTACCCAAAAAGCGCCAGTCAGAGCATATGCTGGGGTGAATTGCATGCACCAGAGGCAAGTTTTAGAGCGCCATTTAATAGTGTAGTGTGGGAAATCTACCAATTTTGCCCGGAAACTCAACCCCCCTACACATGATGCTATACATACACTTTTCCACCTGATGCCGCCCACAAGTATATGCCAGTGGGCCTTTCTTTGTTCGCTCCAAACCCCTCCGTAACTGTTGCTCAATAACCCTAATTATTTATTAATCTCCATCAAATATTGGTGGTGTAAGCAGCAGTGATAAAACAAAACCCACGGGCCCAACCCCCAGTTTTTCCGATAGGGAGTTGCTTATCCAACATTATTCGACCCCCACATGTGTTGCTGAGCCATTGTCTGCCGCTTGCGGGGAGCTTTTCCGCTCCACCCTCCACATAGCGCCCGAGGAACAATTAATGTTTAGCCTTTGATCAACACACCAGAGCATCCAATCCACGGAAGCTTACGCCAGCCCCGTAATTCAAGTCCGCTCTCGACATCATGTGGAGCAATGTGGAGGCAAAAGGCCCTCATATAGCGCCTCACAGACACCCACTCAGCTGAAAAGCTCTGGCACACAAGAATGGGCTGAAACAATAACAAACAATAAAATTGATTTGATGTCGACTAATCGATTCAGTCACGCAAGGCGGGGCCGGGGAGGGCAATTTGGTAATGTGGGGAGAACAAATGTATCCACAGGAGGACATTGAGGCCATGTGAAGCTGAGATTCCTGTACAAGATTGCAGCCTTTCCTAACTTCCACACTGTAAGCATGTAAAACTAGTCGCACTCTTTGTTCCCCAATGCATATGCTTATGATCTTCCACAAAAGCACACTGCATCGATGTGTGATGGCCTGTGAGGAGTTTTCAGATTGTATCCGGGTGGATGAAAAGGGGTGATTTTCCGTCGCAAAGCGTATTTTTCCATACGACGCGAAGCAGAGGGAGTCAGTGGTATGGAAGTACATTTGATGAATATTGACTTTTCCACATTGAGGTAAATGCGCTCTGTGACTCTCTCGATTTTCTCCGCGCTCCGTGAAGAGTGTGTTTGCCGAAGAAATTTCCCTCCAGAGATTTTCTCTCAATAAATACAATGACGAGGTTGAGCGCGTATGGAGGAGCATTTTGTGGTGATGCGAGGAAGTCAGTATAGTGGAGAGTTTTCATGTGTTGTTGCCCACTCCTTCCCAAAGTCCATTTTCCCTCCTCGACGCCCGTGAGTGTGTGTGCGAATCACTATGCCACCCTCGCCCAGTGAGAGTATGTGGAAACCTCAAGCACAAACTATGTACACAGGTCAAATGTAAATTGTGGCAGATCCACAGATTGGGCGTGTGTGTGTGCGTGTGAAAATATGCTGGGCATATCCTCCCAATGGCCTCCCATCGTTGCAGCCCCATGACACCCACGTTTCAAGTTCAGTGTGAGCCGTAGTTGCTTTTGGCTATGTGGTTGAGCATCTCGCCCTGAATGTACACACGCCTTATGTACAGAGGTTCACCCGAAAGGGTGGCTCAATGACTTGGCTCCAATACCAGACGATAAGATGCCTATATCCAGTTCACGTTTCCACGCTCACTGCCAACGAATACTACGAGTGTGCTGGTGCAGATTGGTAAAATTCTAACTAAAACTACAGTATTAGTCATTGTTGGCGTCAGGCGTCCGAAAATGACTACTCAACCCTTTTCTCAAGCGTTGTCTTATCTGCAATCTATATGCCTATTTTATAAGCAGGGTGCGAAGCACCTCGTAAAATTATAATTCTCGCGGAGTTTGTCGAATTACGCACTGTAGCATATTGGGTCCTCCCTCCTTCAGGTGTGTGTATGTGTGTAGTTAATGTGACGTCTTTGGCAGCAAAGAGGTAAATATAATTTGGGTATTTACTACAAGATTTACATTCCCAAAGGCCTCCCACTCTCTCGGGATGCCTGTGGTAAGATTCATCATCAGGAGGGGCGTTGGTGGGCACACAAGCCTCACAAGCTGTCGGAGAGTCTCCTTCATCAATTGCTAAATTGATTTGGGGTATGAGAGCTCTGCAAGCATTTACCCTATTACATATGTATAATTTGAGCTCATTCATAATTCAAGTTTGAGTTCAGCTATGGCTCTTCACCAACATGTTACTGCCTATCTCTCGCTCTGGCTGGATTTAATTTGCTCCGAGATAGTTTCATGCGATTTGCTATTTATATTGTTTCGCTTCTCCATTCTTCTTCTTCTGTTGCAGATTTTGATCTCTTTTCGGGGTGGAAGTTGTATATGTAATCGATGAATTATCTTATTAGATATTTGTGTGAGCATTCAGCCAATAGTCTCCACCCTTGACTCACTCTATTGCCCTGAAAGGGTATCTTTATTCACGCAGTTAATGGAGAATTTATATGCGACTATTTATAGTATTAACAGAAAATAAAATTTATGCCAGAATGAGAGCATTGATTATTGTGTGGTCGGGTGTTGGGGAGTAACTTCCATTATTGTGGTGAACTCCAACTGCTCAACGAGCAATTTATCATTCCTTATCTGCAATTTCACCTCATACAAAAGCCTCCATGGCCCCAAACTCTCCGCATGAGCACTTAACACTTCCTATATAGCGCATTAATTCCGCATTTGATTGCGGGTGTATGCGTCGTGGAGTCTCTCAGAGCCACCCAGTGACCCACACCTCGACCTTTCACCCTCGAATCCACCCGTTGTCTCTCTCAGCATACTCTTCAAGTCACCCAGCTTGCGATCGCTTCTCAATACTTTCAATTAAATTACCATTTGCTCTGCGATACACATTGTGTGCCACCACGCGTATAGTCAAGGTGAGTCCGTGCTGAAGCTTTGCGGGGGGTGGGAATTTTCAAGAACATCCTAGATGGTGGATGGTATTGTGTGAATCGAGCGAGGGGGAAAATAAGAAGAGTTTGATAAAGTACACAAGAAAAAGGCGCTCCATGGTTGAGGAGGAGTGAATAAAAAGTGCTTAAGAGGGTGCTAAAGGGATCTTGTGAATGCGGGATAGGCCCCAGGGATGCCCCACACCCTCCCGCCCGCCCATCACATATTGAATGTGAAGTGAGAAAGATTCACAGCTAGCGATAAAAGTCTCAAGTCATCATCAGTCATCCGGGTTTTTGTTCGGAAATAATCACCTCGAATTTGTATAATTTCATCACAGAACCTAGGCTCTGTGCCTCTGTGTTCGTGCAAATGTGATGACAAGCCCTGTATATGGAGGAGGAACACAAAAAAAATTCAGCACAGCATCGGGTGAAGGATGAAAAGTTTGGGGTTAGAGGAGAAAAATGCGTAAAATTCCCTCAATATTTTATATAGATGATTGTATGGGTGTTACATGAATGTATTGATCTCTTTGAATTGTGGATACTCTGCTCTAGTCCTCTCGCAGCTTTTTGCTCTCTCCGAAACTCCAACTCAGACTGTAATACATCAACCCTCACAAAAACATGTAAGGGTGCAACATTGAAGAGCACACATTAAAGAATCCCACCAGGAAAGACTCGAGGAAGGCAAGAAAGAGGATTTTCTAATCCATTCCTGTTGCATTTTATATAAGGTGTTATGGAATATGTACACATTATTAACCAAATATATAAATTAAACTGATATTTGATGTGATTTTTAATGTTATTCCCTACAATCTTCACAGCGAAAACCCCAGCGAGCTTTGAACACATCTTGGGTATGTCGAAGTCACTGTTTCTTCACCCTCGATTCTCTCTCTCTCGAAAACTTTCCTAACACACTCTTGAAATTACCCACACACCCTCAGCGAAGTTGGTGGTGCTGCTGCTGGTGGCCCGGAGAGCTTTCTGCTACTGGCAGAGCTGAGTTGGGTAGTCAGTGTGTCAAAAGCTCCCGTCAGGAGAAGATTGCCACGAAGTGTTTGGTGTCTCTCTGTAGAATATTTAGTTTGTCTGTGGTGAAGGGTGTTCAAAGTAGAGGCGGAGGAAAAAGGTGTAAAGTCGGAAAGAAAAGTATAACCTCTTGTGGTGACTTTCAGTGATTATCGGTTGCACGGTGGCAATTGATCTTAATCGAAAAATCACTACTTTCCGGAATTAGACAAGTGATTTCAAGGAGAAGGACACACCGAGAACAGTGTGAGGAAGCGTGGCTGCGAGCAAGAAAAGTACGGGGCAATTTTCTCTTCTTTGTCTCTTGTGAAAATTAGCATGTGAAGCCCCGGAGAAAGCTTTCTTTGCCAATCCACTTTGAGGGGCTCTTCTCCGCCCGTTGTGATAAAATCAATTTTCTTGATAGTTTTCTGTGTCTTCAAGCCTTCCTCTCCTTCCTGGCTCGCCCCAGGAGAATGTCCTCGCGCAAGAGCTCGCGATGGGTGGGAATTTGTTCTGGCACTTTGCGAAGTTTGCCGTGTGTTGTCTCCGTGGAAAATTTCAATTTAATTACATGAAAATTTCTCTCGTGCCCAAATCACCGTCGAAACTTCCCTTTTTTTCGACGGGAAAACGCACACAGAGGACAATCCGAGTGCTCTGCAGAACAGTGGCAACAACCTTGGAAGTTTTCAGCGACAGATTCCACTCTCGTACCCTGTTGATGATACACGAGGAGGACAATATTCTCTTCATGTTACATGAAATCTACATTACACATATGTATGTGCATTGATCCCGTGTTTCCACGAAAAAGAAGAAAAATGGTCCGAGCAGAGGTGAAGGGACGGGGGAGGCGAGCTTGCAATTTTACAGCATACGAGCATGGTTGCGTAAAAGGAGTGGTTACGTAAAAATGAACCTTGACGAGAAGTCACACTTTACGCCATGTGTAAAATTACATCTCGATGCTAATTAACTCGCTTTCCCACTGTTACCGAAGTGGAAGTGGCAGAATTGAGTGGAGGTTCCTTTGAACTTTCCACTTCCTATAACTCAGAGTGATTCACCTCCAATGAGACTCTCTGTCACAGCCACTTGGGTGATAAGCTCCCGCACTGGTGAATAATGAATGGTAATAAAATTGTTTTCCAAAGCTCCACTCCTCCTTGCCCGCAAGTGGCAATGGCTCCCACGAGAGCGTGTGGATTCGAGAAGGGCAAAAGGAGGAAAAAGTGTGCAATTAATTGGAGGGCAAATAGTATCTGGCTGCTGGATTGTCGTCTCCGCGGCGTCAGTGAGCAGGCAGTAAAATCCCTTTTAGCGTATCATAAATAATTTATTATATATCGAATCGCGTGGCACACAGAGCTGCCGCTGTCTCGTCCGCATACTGGGTGAAACATTCAAATTTATCCCCCTTGTTTAACTTCGCAGTGAGACAAGAATGAGGGAATTATAATGTGGCAATGGGGACGCCTGGTGGTTTTCAACCAGAGAGCACTCCATTCACTTCAAATATTTATTCTCACCCTCAAGTACATAGCTACATCCCCCCAGAACGGTGACGTGTATCCAGCTATAGTGAATCTGTGTGCTTTCACCCCCTTGTTCGCCAATATACGCCCCCATTCTCGCCGTCGCATATGAAATGTATACTCTCACCATAAATAAATAAATAATCGAAAGGGCGGTTGGTATTTTTTCGCCCACCCCACGCGAGGGGTGCCCTCGAAAAACATGTGTATATGCGTATCTCAAGTCATACATGCGGTGTCATAGATGAAAACATGGAATGTTCACTCACAACACTATAGTTTTCACCCCCGCACTTGCCAACAATGGGATATATTTATTTATATTTTCCGCTCTTTTGTCTACTCTTGGCACCCTTAAATTCCTCAAACTGACATGTTGCGTCCGCAACGTTCGCACTTTGTTTGCTGAAATTTACACTTTCGTGCTGTTTTTCAACCACCTCTCGTTGCTGGACCATTTTAGAATTTATGTGGATGATTTGAGTTCACCAGAAATATGTGACTTGTATTGAACATTTGGGGATGTTCTTACAAACAAATCTTTCATATCCTATCGTCAATCTCAGCCCCACCCTTCCTCACTGCCATGACACATCTTTTGTTTCCACCACCAAGACCATGCAGATAAATCTCATAAATTTCTATATTTATTCATCTCACACCCAGCCATTCTCCCTGCGTATCTCACTTTCTGCCCATTCGCCCGGCCTACAGTCGAATTGGGCTATTCATGGATAAATTAGTTGGAAAAATGGGGAAATATATCCCAGCTAAATCATATATTTTCGGCCACACACAGAGATTTGCCCCAATGCTCTCCAGTCCTTGTCAGCCATGTTCATTTGTGTTCTCCAAATGCTGTGCGCGAGGGTCAGAATTTTTTAACTTTTCACCAGTGGCGTAGAGATTTCCGTTCGGATCACTTGCAAGGTTTGGAATTTGTCCAAAAAGAACAATTTACTGCTGTGAAAAATTGTCACAAAACTTCCTTAAAGTGCTGAGCTGCTTAATCTTTCATGTGGATCTCAATGCCTTTAGGAAGATATCAGCATTGGTGTCAATTGCAGTCTCTGAATATGTCCCGCACTACACCTCTGCTCATTTGCCAGCATGATAAGAGGGTGAGCTTTGGCTAGTTGCAAAATTCCCAGTGAATACATAAAACTGCTCCCCTGACTCCGCGCCACATTGTATCATGCCTATACACTGCGAGGCATCGTGAATTGTCTCGGGATCTGACGTGTCTCCCCAAGGGATGAATTGTAACCCTCAGAAGCCCAAGCTGGAGCCACTTTTATATCCGGCTATCGGTCAGCATTTGCGAAGAGCCGCTCACTCGATGAGGTGTTTGTTTTCCATGTCTCATTCCGCCTCAACTGTCAGGAAGAACCTCCGTCTCTCCATCGACCAGCGTATGCCTAGAAGATGACAAGGAGTATGGAAAAGAGATGTTTAACCTTTTTCGGTTTTATCCCATGTTATGTACTAGTGAGGTAGTACACTTGGTGAAATGTTGTCAAACTATGTGTGTGAAATTTGAAAATTCACCCTCTGAAGTAAGGAAAATATTGAGCAGAAAATTCTCCGAATAACTCTGTTCAAGTGTATTAGTGAAATTACTCCTGGCGCTGAAGATATGCACAATGAGATAACTCTACTGTATATTCATATCATAAATTCACATTATTTGGCATTCGATTTGAGTTTCAAAGCCACACAATTTTATGGCAAATCATTTTTATCGTGACTTACATGTACATTAAGAGCCCTGTTGTTATATAGATTTTTATGTGAGAGAACACATAAAACTATAAATCTTTCGTTCTTAATTTTTTCTGTTAGATTGTGGTAGAAATACGAGGTATAGACAAGTCTTGAGAACTCCCCCAACCCATTCTAGTGTCATAAATTTTGGTGAACAAAGTTATTCTGACTTTAATTCGAATCATTACAAAAGTTCCCTCAACGAGCAATATTTTATCGAGATAATTAAAGTTTTTATGGCTCTGTAAAACATTTAAAATTACTCACAATTCCGTGGTGGTGTCGAAAATATTTGAAAATTCGATTATGGCTATAATTAAATTTATGCTGAATAGAAAAACATGTTGAGTTTTGCATTTTCATTCGCAATTACTTAAGAAACTCATTTCCAGCGCTCTTTCATTAATTTTCCGATATAATGTACATGAGCTTAATTTTGAATTGCAACACATTATGTAGATGTATTTGAAAGCTATTTGTGGCAAAAGTCCATCAATAAAAATTAAAAGTTTTTCATATGTTGGCTTCACTTGTTTGAGTGGAACTTTTTGCTGTACGCTTCATTAAGCTTTGCACCACTCTTCCGCACCGGAGGACAATTAAAGCGAAGCGCTATTATAATACTCATTTGGATGTTGCGAGCATCTGAGCAATTCAATAAAAATCTCGGAAAACTTCCCAGATTGCCAATATGTTTATTTAAAACCACATCTCACTGGTCTCGTCTTGGCAAGCTTTCAAGTCAGGATCGAAAAATGAACAGTCGGAAAAAATATTCATCGCTGTGTGTGTGTACAAAAGTATCCCTCTTCTGGAAGGGTTTAAATGAAGGGTTGCCGATTAAGTGGGAGTCGCAATACAACCCCTGTCGTTTCTTTTCACTGTGACAAAATGCTACAAATGGAAAAATGTCCACGATAAAAGCTCTGGGGGACGAAAGCTCCCCCGCACTTGGGGGCATGTGATTCTTGATCGTATATAGGCTCTGGAGTTGATAGTTTGCAAGGGATTGGAGGCGAGAGAGAAAGAGAGAAATCGATTGCCAATAGAGAGAATAGCGTGAAATGTGTCCCCATTGACTCAATTCTCAGTTCTGTGCGATAAATTTATGAAAAGGCCAGGATGTGGGGACGTGAGTCTTGGAAATTGTGGGGTTTTCTGTACATCAGAGCATTGTTATGGTGTGGGCGAAGTATCATTTCCTAAAATGTCGTGCTGGTTTGAGGTGGAGTTTAGATGATAAGGGGGTGGTTACTGTGGGGTGTGGGTGGAATGAAAATAAAAAGAAAAGGTCGCGAAAAAAACTATTTATACACCGCAATGTGAAATGATTGTTCACTTATATATGCTTGGTTATAGCAAATTTATGTTATTGCAATTCTATTTTCTTGAATATGAGCAGCGAGGGTGAGACGCGGACAAAAAAAATAGAAGCGAAAACATGGGGAAAAAAGCGAATATTGATTTCTTTTTATTCCGACCAGACGACGAAAATGTCTCTTCTTGTAATGTATTTTGTGCCTTTTATCGCGAAGCCAAGAGACATCGCGACATGGCAGTTAGATCATACTCCTATAATTGCAATCGCAACTGTCTCTGGTTCCCAACATGGCTGATGGCTATTATGGGGATTGTGGCGGAGTGCATTGTGAAGTCATGTACTCTCTTCCATACCATTTTCCCGCTTGCAGCTCATTTTTCTCCTCGTGTAGCCTGTCTGGTGGGGTTCTCACTCAGCACTTACACTTGTGGTTTTATCACATATTGGATGAGAGAGATTTCCAAGATGTTTCCATTCTTAAAAAAGAGAATGGCATAATAAAATCCCATTCGTGATGATGTTTGATGGCGCACAGCATGGAATGAGAAAGCAACTGCGGAGAATTTGGGGGATGCAAGCAATATGCTGTGCTCATCCAGAAATCTTCCTCTCTGCGCGGCACACACCACAAAGAGTTGCAAAGCCCAGAGCAATTCACTCATCCGGAGCGATAATATTTTATGCCTCATCCCACGGCACGAAAATCTCTCCATTTTGTGTATTAAATTTGCCGCCATATAGCGTGGTGATATAAGTTTCTATGGTGTCGTATGGAGGCTTCGTGGAAGCCACTGGACGCCCCAAAAGACAGCCCCAGCATAGCTCTTGTATATCATCTGCAGCCCCATTAAGTCCCTAAATTCCTCCCATAATGATATCTCCAACATTTCTCCTTTTCTCAACTCTTCTCGGCACACCACAAACCATCATCATCTCGCCACAGAATTTATCATCGTCATTTTTTTTTCCTCGAGGACGTGAAGACATTTTTCCCCGAGTGAAGCAATGCCGCTCTTGCATTATATTTCAATTGGATTCATAATAAATCTTCATGCAGCATCAATAGGATGACTCTTGCGGAAGTCACATACAGACGAGCATGAAGTGAATTGAAAAATGTACACGAAAGCTATCGAGCAACATTGATTTTCTCACAATTTATCCAATAAGCGTGCATGACAATTTTTCTGTATTCTATTTCGCAGGACAAGAAAATCAACGTAAAAAAAATGTGATTTATTTAAAAATCAACTGTGTGCTGTGGGAGAACATCGTAAAAAAGGAGGAAGTAAACAAGGAATAAAGTTAATGTGCACTGTGTTTGGGGACAACGGCAGTGAAAGAGTGTTGAAACTGGAAAACTGGGGGGAAAAGCTAATTAATTGATTGTGGAATCTACCATAATACATGCACAGTAAACTCAAGTTGACGAGAAAGGTGAAAGCTAAAGCCTGTGATTAATTACCAGGAAAATTGAACGACAAATTGAATTGAGGTGTGTTGTTGCATTTTTTCATTCTCTCTCCCTCTTGTTGCTTGAATGGCAGTAGTTTCAAAGTTTGATCGTGCGGCAATTATAGTGTGAGTTTCCAATCGTTGAGCGCGGGAGGACGCACTCACCCTTGCATTTGAGCGGCGCAATAGTGTGAAAAGGAGAGATATTGTCCAGTAGCAGCTCTTCTATTATTATCTTACAACATGGGAAAGAAGAATTCTAAACTAAAGCAGGACACAATTGATCGACTGACTACAGATACATACTGTAAGTTGCATATGCATTATTCCACTAATCACTAAAATTAATCAAGGTTCATGGTATGAAACACATTGAGCCATATATTTGGTCATAAACCTAACAGTGCTCAGTGATGAGAACCTATGCGGTTTAGAATATTGGAATCCACGTTTAGTAAATGTGTAATCACTCTTTTGAACTCATGCAAAAGTGTGATTTTGCAAACGTGACTGTGAAGCGTTAAAAGCAGGAAAATCATGCATGAATAACTTGTTTTGCCAATTTTGTAAATTAACAACCGACATAATGGTGATCTTTACATGATGTGGTATTAAATGTTTTGGCAGCAATATTAAATTTGAGGGTGTGAAATGTAAATGTGACTTTGGCTTTGCAAAGTATTGCGATTCGGAAGGGAAATTATTTTGAGACTGTCAACTATCATTTCACAGCGTGCCATTCCAAAACCGCACACTTTGCAATATTAAAGTATTAGTACTGTCATTAAGTTAAAGTGGAAACTTTTGCATATTTCACTTTTATTGCCCTTCCCTCGAGCAACTTCTCGCCAAGATCTTTCCCCCGTGACACCAAGTGTCGACATATACTTTGTGATGCTTTATCACACACCCCTTGAATGCCCTTTTTTCCAGTGTTCATGCAACGCAACACTTCGTGTCTATTTAACTTTCTTTTCCGCGTATTTGTGCTTCTCTTTCTCCGAATTTTCTCTCCCTCCCCCCGAATTTCATCTCTCTCGTGAACAGAAGAGATAACACGATGCGATGTTTGTCAGTGGAGGATGAAATGTGAAGAGAGAAGTGCCCTTGTAAGATGGTTAAACAGTATATGGAATGGCAAAGTGATATAATCCACGTTTTTCATAATCCTCTTCACACTCTTGGCAAAAGTGTATACATGAGAAACCACCAAGCAACAGGTTCAATATTATCTTCACTTTTTCCACACTTATTCCGAGGAATTATAATTACTTTGACTTTTTCAACAACTCTGGAGAAGAAGAGAATATTCTTGTGGAATCAAAAGTTTTTCCATACAAGTATGTTATCTTACGAGAGCCACCAGCGTTGCGAGATAATGTTATTTGCATAAAACTGTCGAGCATATAATTGTCATGTAATTATATGGTGTTATTTATGGGATGTTTAATTTTAATCCCTCGAGTTTGTATTCTTTACCGTGGTCCCAACATATTTTCCACAGATTTTCTCCGGCATTATTTTTGCACCATCATATTTCATGTGGGCTTTTTTGGCAGGGCCTCGCCACTCGTTACAGGCAATACTCACGCACTCTCCTTAGGAATTGAGCGTATACTATTGCTCGCGGAATTCCGAGTATTCCTCATATTTCTTCACACCACCTCTGTAATCCACTTCCTCGTGGGTGTTTTATATTCATTTTCGCACACTTTCTGACTATAAATAAATTTGCAGCCATAAATAAAGGAGTCCCTGGGTGGGAGTTTGATTGGGATTTGATTCAAATTAAAGTGAAGTTTTCCTGTTGGAGACTGTGTGCTCAATAAATTTTATTCATCGTCCGTGAATAAAAGGCGAAGAGAGGAAAATGGAGTTGCAAAGAGCTCGTGTTGGAAGGGATTCGTTTGATTCGGAAGAGGAAAGTAATGAGGGAATATTTTCCTCATAGTTGCTCTCTAGCTTGCGTGAAACGCCAAAGATTCACATCATCACTGGCACATTGATATTCACGATTCGCGGTTGCATTTCTCGATTATGATTTACGAGCCAAAGCTCTCCACTTGCAAGTATTTTAGCATATTATTGTAGAATCACTCCCAAAATACTACAATGTAGTGTTGTTCTTTGTAGTATTTAAAGCTGCCCTGAAGCACTTTCGGGAAGTTCTTTAGGCTCCGGCGCAGAATTGTTGAGAGCAAAGTTATTCACCAAAACCATCATTTCGGGGGCGGGCCTTCTTATGGGCGAAACATCATTTCATTGTAGATTTAAGTGGATGTGAAAATATTTACAGTCTTCGTTCCTGAGGTTTGAGGCAACATGAGAGACTGAAAATGATTACTAACGCGGTGGGGGAAGAGCAGAAAAAGAGATGCTCGCCAAAAAAAATTGTCGAGGGCTTCGGATTAGGGAATTTACATTTGAAATTATATATTTGCCACCTCCTATATATGTATATAGCAGAGAGCTTTAGGGCGGCAGTGATAGTATGAGGATTGGAGCAGCGAAGTGATAATAACTGGAAAATTTTCTCGTTTCTCCATTTTCATGCTTTCCCTCTCAAATGGATGCTGTTAGTCACAGAAAAGGAAATTAGACAGTGGTAAGTAAGATGAAAAATAAATGGAATTGCATGGAAAATGTGGCCCAAATCCAATTGTCTAACCATTTTGCATATTGAATTGTGTGGGTGGGGCCGCGCTTTTCAGTCGCGCGCGCGAGAGGAAAAGTCATACCGTTAATTGTGGCAAATTGTCGCTGATATTTGATAACGTGTCGTCAATATTGTTAACAGGGGAAATGGGGTTGCGCGAGTACACAAGAGTTGTCCCCGTGGAATATTGATGGGAAATGTTGAAAATTTGATTATAATTCATTTTCCTTCGCAAATTTTCTGTGTGCGCCTCTTTCAGCGCGCGATAAATTGTGGAAATGATGTTAACGGGCGAAACAATAATTGGTCCCTCTTATTGTGAATGAAAAGAAAATGCTGTAATGCAATTAGGTTGGAGAAAGAGGAAAGGAGTATAGGACGTGGGAAAATTAAATTTGAAGTTTGTGTAAAATAATTGCATGAAATTGTTAGATGATTTTCATGCCGTCGTCATTGTGTTGCCCCTGAATAAATAACTTCAAATTGATTTTCCCATCATTTTCAGAAACTCCTCATCAATTTTCCCTCACTCTCCACTATAGCCTTTTTCTCTACAATTCTCCCTCTTCTTCTTCTCTTTTTTTATTCTCATCCTCTCTGCACACTTGTCTAGGCATAAAGGATTTCTCAAAGACTGTCCCAATGGATTGCTGACAGAGCAGGTGAATTGCTTTCAATTTTTCTCTATCTCTTTCACTGATTCTGTTTTTATGACAACAGTAAAAATCTGTTCACATTTCTCCACGCCGCAACTCACGTCTTTTAACATCGTGTCGTCTTTCTTCTCTCTTCCAGGGTTTCATCAAGATTTACAAGCAATTTTTCCCACAAGGAGATCCCAGCAAATTTGCATCGCTTGTCTTTCGAGTGTTTGACGAGAATAATGTGAGTGGGGACAGTAGATTTAATCCCAATTAGTAGCTTTCCTATGTTTTCCTTCCACCCACTCCACAATCTCACGCCCCGCCAGCAAATCTGGTGTCCTTTTTGGCATTTTAGCCCCATTAAAGTCTACTCTGTGTGATTCACCTCCTGAGTGATTAAATGGGAGTCGTGATGGATAATTTCACAGCCGTGAAATCGATATTCCAAGATGAAATTAATGTGGCACACTGTGTATTATACATTTCAGGATGGCTCAATTGAGTTTGAGGAATTCATTCGGGCACTCTCCATAACGTCCAGGGGAAACCTCGATGAGAAACTCCACTGTGAGTATAGTAATTTTACGTCTTTTCCCTGCTAAAGTCCACTCCAACATCCGCACGCCCACCTTCGTCCATCAGTCACAGGGCATTTGGCCCCGACTGGAGAAGTTGGTCGTCTGTGGTGGACATAAAATTGCACCATTAACAATACTTAAGGAGGAAGAGTCATTTTATCAATACACTTTTATTTCACCATCGTCACAGGGGCTTTTCGGTTGTACGACGTTGATAACGATGGCTATATAACGCGCGACGAAATGTACAACATTGTGGATGCAATCTACCAGATGGTGGTAAGTAAAAGTTTTCAAACACTCACTACAAGTATGACTGTGATAGGGAAAAGTCGCGCCAATTCCTTGCACTTTGTCTTGCCACACTCTCCACCAATTCACTGGGATTCCTCTAAGAACCCGAGCAGAGCTCTTCAGTGCTCGTAATCTCTGACCCCACAGCTCAATACCATATATTATGTGCACACGATGAAGTTGCATGAAAGTTGAAAGTACTGGTCGGCAAAATAAACAAGGACGAATTTGTGGTATAATTAATTTAATATGGGGAATTTGTACTTTTTGTATCCGGATTTAAGCTATATTTATGAGATTCTATATATAGCAATAAAGAACGAAAATTGGCGAAATAATTTGGGATTAAAAAACGAAAGTTGAAGGGATAAAATTAATAGAGCGTCTAATTTTGTGCAATCAATATGTTATTCACTCTTATTTTTATGATTCACATACATAAAATGAAGTGTGAATATAACAATAGTTATGGAAAAAATAGTTGTCTGAAACTACTTCGCTCTTCTCTGTGTATTCTCGTCAAATTTGCAAAGTTCTCCAATAAAAATATCCAATTTCAACTCTTGTATCTGTTTATTCACACCTCTCGGATGAGCTTCAATTTAGTGCTTTTTTTTGGTATAGTGAAGAAGATGTACGAACTTTTACCTATTCATCATACAACATCGCAATCCTCGATTTTATCATTTGAAGCTCTCTCATTCATTATATAGCGACAAAGCAGTATTTTTTTTACAAGCATCAGATAAATTTGAAGACTTATCATGCAAGAGAGCATAGAATAGAATTAAAGATTCATCGCAACTTTTGTATACTTGGGAAAGATGGGAGAAGACAAATGACAGGATAGAGACGCGGAAAAAGTCTTCTACTGCGTTTTTCTTCTTCATCAAAACTTGAGTTCCGTAAAAAATTGTAAAAGTTTCTCTGGAAACTTCCAGCAACAAATAATGACATGCATCAGAGGCACTGAGAGACTATTCTTGGTGCGTACTTTGCGGGTGGTGTATGATAAATTTGTGCAGATTTTGAACATTGCAACTTCTCCGCACCCACGAGGCCACTACTTGAGAAATGGCGGTTGGGAGAGATCAAGACGGAGAGCTTTTCGGAGAAATGAATGGTGTGCAAAAGTATTTCGAAATAAATCACGTCGCGTTTTCGTTTTTATTTATCTTTCTAACCATATACACGTCAAGGACGTGTGTGGAGAATGAAAAGCACGACTTTTATTCCTCAATCATCACATCATTATTGCTGGGGACAAATTATTTTGTTATTTCGCCCTCCTTTCTCTCATCATCATCATCTTTATGGTGTTTATGTTAATATGATAACATCGCCCTCTCTCCCTTGGAGCATTGGCACAACGGGGTCTTCGGGCTTCGGCACGTATTTTTCATCAATTTTTCCTATACTCTGTGCAGGGTCAACAACCCCAGACTGAAGATGAGAACACACCGCAGAAGCGTGTGGATAAGATCTTCGATCAAATGGACAAGAATCACGACGATCGGCTGACGCTGGAGGAGTTCAGGGAGGGCAGCAAGGCCGACCCTAGAATCGTACAAGCACTCAGTTTAGGTGGTGACTAACCGTCCTAAGGTGAGTGGGTGGGTCATCTCGATGGAGCACAACTGTACAGTAAATAACACATAAAGTCCCTCGCCCACATGGTCCGCATTTCTTTCTGATATTTTCATCATTTGATTAACTGCTGGAACACTCTCCAATTTATTATCCTTCTTGATTGAATTTCTGGGTGAACAATTAAGCATCATTTTTCTCTTAACACTACACAGTCTGATTAACACAAAGTGCTGCAAACTATCCCAGAGTGTAATCAAAAGAGAGAGAGAGAGAGGGAGAGAATAAGAGGAAAGGGAGTAATTTGTCCTCAATTTCTCACATCGCGGGGAAAGAGGACAAATTTTTACAGGATGTTACGTGAAAATGGTAGTGAAACGAGGAAAAAATGAGTACTCATCAATTTTGCTTGTCAGTATGTTGAATGTCCTTTTAATTGCAATGTTTGTCGGATTGTTTTTTAACTCGACAATGAATTGACAAAAACAACGCACACAAACACTACTTTAAATGGCATTTGCTTTAGCAGTTTGTATAAGATAATTTAATGTAAAAACATATACATAACATAGGAAGAGACACTCTCTAAGTTGACATACAATCGAATCTCTTATACTTATAGACATTTTTAAAGGATATTCACGCATACATGAATTGTACTTGAGACAACAAGAAGGGGTTGAAATGCAAACAATCACAGTGAATATCCTTTCCAATATACATACAAGTAAAGAATTACTGATGATATTGCATATGAGAAATATGGGAAAGTCAATTCGTAAATATACAATTTTTAATAAATAAACTCTTATTATCCTAAAGGCATATAAAATATATTCAGAATAAAGATATTTCTCATGAGAACACCCACGTTGAATGACTTTTAAGACAATTTTCATGCTTTATAATTTTCTTCACTTCTCCCATAAAGAGGAACAAGAAAAAAGGAGTGGGAAAGGAGGAGAAATAAGGAATTACGTTTTACTCACAATACACTCGTCTGCGTGAAGGCTAAAGAATAATAAATTGTCATGTCGCCCCATCATCAAAGTCAACTTTTTCATTTTGCGGTGAAGATTTTGGCTGAACTGAGAGGATGATGGGACAGAAGGAGTGCCGAGTAAGGTACCTTATTGTCCCTCCAATGGCAGAAAATATCAAGCAGAAAATTGAAAATCCCTCCAATAAATTTTATGGAAAGTATAAAACGTTCATTCCAAAAGAGGGGAGAAAGTGATAAAATTGTCTTGAAGAGTTATTGATATGTTTTGTCAACTTCGACTCTTGCGTAAAGTGAAGGATGAACAAAAAAAAATTTACTAATGTAGCAAAAAGGACAGCAGAAATTTCGAGAGGAGAGAAAAACTTCATCTAGAGACAATCTTGATAAATTTCAAGATAAATTCAATGTAAATGCTAACATTAATCAACACCTTAGTAAATTTACATACTTTTACTATAGTGTGAGAGAGTAATACTGTAAAGAATTAATTTTCATAAGCAATTTGCCTCATTTCTCATCAAGTGAGGCACATACACTCTAATAATGAAGAAGGATAATAATAAATAAGGGAATAATTAAGGAAGTTACACCAATATGAATTACTCGACGTGGGAGAAAAACAGTAAAAATATGTAAAAAAAAAAAATGATTGAGGTATTAATAAAGTAACTAATTAAGCATGAGTAATTGCTAAGAGAAAAAAAAAACAATTAGATGCCGCGTGAAAATTTTATTTGCTCGTAGTAAATAAAACCGAGAAGTATAAGAAATTTCAAGAAAATAGAAAGAAGAAATGAAATCTCATAAATGTTGTGCTTTATACAATATTGAAAGAGCAGGAGAATGAAACATGTTTTCAGCAGCATTACATCTTCTCAGTTTAAATGCATGAAACTAATAAACGAAATGTCCTGCGCAAAGAGTAGTATTAAATATAAATTTGAGGCCTAATATGCGATGTACTCACATTGTTCTTCTGCAGATCTTGAAGTCTTTCGGTTGTTTGAAAGCTTAAAAATATAATGAAATATTCTTCGGGGAGGAAAATTTAATACAATAAAAGGCAACTTTAAGTGGAAATCCGCTCGAAATAAATAACGAAAATACATGAAAGGTAAAAAAAAACATTGTTTTTTCCACAAAAAAAAGAGAAACGCACTGCAAAAGCCGTCCTTTATGTTGCTGAATTTATTTGAAGTTAACTCTGTAGTTTGGATGACAAAAAAAAACAACACGACAAAATTTTATCCTCTCTGATTTATCAGGCAAAAGTGCAAAAAAAATCCAGCACCGAAATAATTTAATTAAATTGCAACTTTCGCTATGTTTCCACATACAATGAGAGAATTGCGACAGAGGAAAAATTTATTCTGTACTGCTTCCTTTATTTTAAACTTTCTGTGATAAAATACAATCATAAAATATGCAATATGATGATAAGAAAATGAAGTTATTATGGTAGAAAAAAAAATTGTGAAATGAGCAAAGGTTTAAAATCAAGTTTTGAGAGAGAGTTAGAGAAAGGATCGAAGGATGAAAAAAGTTATTGCGAATTGAATCGAAATTTTTTTCCGAAAATGGAGCAACTGAACTTTGTATAGAAATGGGCTTTGTTTCTTTCTTTAAAAAAAAAAATGTATTTATACAAAGGAAAAGGTTTTGAATGCAATATAATATTGAGAAAAATAACAATTATTATGCAAATATTGCAGTATTTTCTAAAATGAAAGGATAAAACGTTTACGTACTGAAAGTTGTTGGTGTTATACTTATTAGAAGGTGAAATAAAATTCGCGTATTTAAACCAATAATTAAAAAAAAAATATGAAGAATCGTGAGGATTCGAACAGAAGTGGGCTTAAATCTTTATTTCAATTGCCATTGCAAAAAAAACAAGATTGATTACATAAATTATGTATATAATTATAGATAATAAAGAGCATTACATAAAAATTGGAAAATTAATTACGGGATTCCATTCAAGTGATCCGCAAAAATATTATTAGAGGCAAAGTATATTTTAGCGTAGCCTTAAGGGGTTGACTAATTGCTAAGATATTGAAGTGGACAAAGAGAAAGAGCAAGCAAAAGTATGTAACAATTAGAAGAAAAAAAATCAAAATTCTTATGCTAATAACTATACAAAAAGGTAAAACTTAGATGATAATCCTAATCATCATCTCTCCTTCGAAGGAAATCACAGTAAACTAAACTCTTATTCGCTTTTTTGTAATAACCCATGACGTCTAGTCTAGAGTTACAAGATATTTGAAAAAGTTCTTCAAATCCTTTTCCAGAGAACAGGAATAAATAGAAGTATATAATTGCATAAATCTTAAGAAGAACAGAGTTTTTAGCTTACAAATTTAAAAAACTACTTAAAATGATTATTAAAAGCAAGAAAAAAAAACATTAAAAGGAAAATACTTCAAAATTTCTCATATTCTGATAAAAGACATGTTTTAAAAAATATAAAGAAAAACATAGCTGAGGAGGATTAAGCTCGCCCACAGCGAGATTGCATGCACATTTTTGTGGATTTAGAGACAGAGGAAGATGAGGGAAATTTTATCATAACATTCAACGGAAAACTTGATGGGAAGAATGCGATGGGACTTACAGAAAGAAAAAAAGGAAGATTTAAAAACTTATATAAGGCATAATCTTGTAAGAAAGTTGCTCAAACATTTTTCACGCATATTTTTCTCATGTTACTCATTTCTCTTCGAGCTTCATAACTTATACATAAAATATTGCGAATAGAAAGCTTCCTTTTTGCGATAGTTTTGTAAATTCCACTGCACTGTTAAATAGAAGACACGATAAACTTGCCTTTTTGCTTCACGTTCAACAAAAAAATTAAATCATCAAAAGGGTCGCCTTTGTAAGATTTCTCCCTCTTTTTTTGTCTATTACGCTAACCTGCAAAATTAGAGGTGAAAATTGCATGAAGAAACTTCCTCCCCTCCTAAATTCATAGTCTTTTCTTCAAACCTTTATTCCATCGCCTTTGTCACTCCCGTGAGAAATATGCTAACTAGTGCGAGAAAAGTTTCACGAGAAAGTCCAGTAATTGCTGAACGAATTAAAATCGTATTGTCGTTGGCAATTAAAGAACAGAGCGAAGGAGAAATCTCGAAAAGAATTTTCATATGCTATTTGCTCAATTGTTACTCCACCCAAAGATGTTTTCGACGCGAAGCAGACGAGAAAGAAGTTGTTAGTGAGAAGAGGTGAAGAAATAAAAAAACTAAATTGTTACGTGAAAAACAATAAGGGAAAAATGGTTTCCAATTTTCAAGAGAGGACGACACTCATTAAGAAGGACGATCCTATCTTGCTATTCATTTCCCTCCACTTGATTTCATTCTTTGCATTCCTCCCCGCCAACAAGAATCCACCCACCCACTTGTTAAAGAAGAAATTAAGGCAAATCTTGAGAAGTTCATTCGACAAAATAGAATCTATTTAGCGCTCAAAATCACTTTATCATGACACTCTTCATTGTATTTTCTAATCATTGTCAATAAAAATAGGAGATATCAAATTTTGGACAAAAATTCACACGCAAACAGCAAGACAAAACAATTAAAAGAAAAATGCACCAGTCGCCAAAAAAATGTAAAAGAAAAACACCTCAACATTGAAAAGAAAATAATAATAACTCAACTTTGACTGAAAGAAAACTATTGAAGATGAGAAAAAAAAACACGTTGTTATTTAAAATAAGAGGCGGTTAAAAGAGAATTGATGGTGATAAGAAAATATTGTTGAATACGATGTGAAATCAAGAAGAAATAAATAAGGAAGAAAACGTATTTGTTGAATATTATTTCTTGGTAAACGAGAAAAAAAAAATCTGTTTGATCCAAAAAAAAAATAGTGAAGAAAAATAGAGAAAAAGGATAAATAAAGACACAGTTAACAAGAATATTTATGTATGTGTGCAGTTTAATATAAAAATAAAGTTATGCAAAAATTAACTCGTTTTTATTTCGAAATTCACTTTATTTTTTTTCATATAATGATTATCTTGTCATCTAATTCTTACTTTTTTTTCATCTCATTTCATAAAGACACTATATCAACTATCTAATGAAAATTCTCATTAAGTATATTACGTTTAAAATCACAATTATACTTCTTGTTTTATATTTCTTTTAAATTGAAAATGCAGTCAATTTTATTATTACAGGGTTTGTTATCGTGAAAAAAATCCTACTGTGAATATTCAATATGTAATTTCTCTGCAACAGTCGCTAATATTTCATCGATCTTCAAGTATATGTTTGGAAAAATATACTTGACTACATCATAATTCACACTACGAAAACTCCTTAACAGACTCACTATATATAGGCTAGAGAGTTTCTCAATTTCTATGGAATTTGCAGAAAGAAAAAAAGGAATCACTTGCGACCGAAGACTTAACAGTTGCGAGAAGAGACAGTGACAGAGTGGAAATAGAGAAACTATTATATACAGTACTTAAATTTATGAATAATAAATATTCACAAAAGTTCATTACACTATACAATCGTTTACAATGGAGAACAAGAGGGTTGCAGAGGAAATTAGATGCCTATTACCAAGTAATTCCAAGTTGATCAATATATCGAACACGAATATCTCAGCTCGTGGTGCGCTTCAATCGTACTCATGGCTCGATTCGCGTTTACTTATTAATGTCTCACGCTCCTCCTCGTTGCCATCGACGAATGTCGCACTCGGCATCGAGCGATTGGTGACTTTGGTTAATCCTTCAGTGAATCCCGAATCTGTCAATCTGCAAAGACAACCCCATCAATTCCACACACCCCCAAACACCAAGACGACGCATGTGAGTCAGTCGTGTGAAGAAATGGCAAAGGACAGCAGAACACATGCCAGAGATTACTCACACTTCATTGGCATCCTCCTCGTCATCGCTGTTGCTGACGGTGAAGTACGGATGCTGCGATGCTGGCCGGAACTTGTACGCCGTGAGCACGAAGAATGTGTAATTGGCCATCTCCCTGAACATCTCGTCCATCCATGCATACTGAAAAGCCACTGTTATCTGCAAGAAATTCAATGCGAACAAATTTTCTCATTCTCCACTGCATTTGCATAAGCAATTTCTGCACAAATTCCAACCTACAATAGAGACGACAGTTTCCCCCAATCAATTGTCGTGTGATCGATTTTTTTCCGTTCTTTTTTTCCTCAATAGATAAAGAGAGCCATAAAAAAAAACTATTGAGTGGCTCTAGAAAAATCCAGTAAAAAAAAACCGACACATTACTCAATACTGATAATAATGCGCATAAACTCATCGAAAAAAGAATTATTATCATCCATCACTCAATGGCCAATTGATGGGTGGATAAAAATCCCCATTTTCACCACTTTAACTATCCCGTAAAACATGTGTCTCGTGTCCACACACAGAGAGGCTATTAAGTAGAGAAATTACCTTGAGAAGATAGACGATAATTCGCGTGAAGTAGATGTAGCACACAATCATTATGTAGAATTGCCGGAAGAGTTTCAATTTTCTCAAATTCGTGGCGGCCTTGCCGTCGGTGGCGGAAGCCTCCTGAAGGTGCCGAATTGACCACACAACAGGGAAGAGAATGGCGCCGCAGCATATTAAGTCCACAAGGATAAAAATGTCACCCCACGTCGTGTGCTCTCTGTCACCCACTTCGCTCTCCTCAATGATAATTGCCGCCACATTAGCCAACACTTGAAGTGGTATGACAATCATGAACAATTTCTTATCCTTATCGGCCAGTATGTGCTTGATGAACGTCCATCCTGTGCCTATGAGGACGATGGTGATGAAGAGAACGGCACCCTTGAGGCTGTGCGGAGAGACGAGAGAGATAAATTAAAGTCTGTATAATCGCACCATCAGGCGCTGAGAGGCAGAGAGGCACTCTTACAGATGAGTGATGTAGAAGAGAATTGCCCATGCTGCAACGTGCTCCCCTTTAATCTCGATAAAGTGGTAGTTGATGGCGTGAAAGAAGAGCGAGAGGGACTTGAGGAACACCAGAACGGCCATCAGATAGTGGATCTTGAACACCGGATGCCTGCAATATTGGGATATTATTATTATTGAATAATATATTGTCAGGTGCAAAAGCCACATCTGTGCAGCATCTCACTCACTTGCTCTTCTGCAGGATGAACACCCAGAACAGTCCCGAGAGGAAGAACAGCACCGCCATCATGAAGTACAGCGCAGGCAGAGGCATTTCGCCGGCCGATAAGTAATTGCCACTATTGTTCTCCTCAATATCCACCTAATTTGCAACGAGGGAAGAATGTATGAAAATTTATTCCAACCATTTTACCCAAATACAAAATGCCCTCCCCAGAATATGATTCTCGACTCACATTGAAGTTGAGGGAGTATTTAGGTGGATAGATATAATTCGGACAGCTGTGGAAATATAAATTGTAGAGACCCTCATCTTCCTTCGTGGCCACATAGAGAACAAACTAGGAGAATACGGAAAGAAATAAAACAATAAATCACTTCGCCTTTCTTCCACTTCACTCTCTGCGCCTATATAAATTTCTACAAATTCCACACACCCCCGCGCACACCCAGCATGATAAATGATTGAAACCCCTCTTGTGAGCTGCCCCCGGGCAATTACGCAAAGCATTAGGCATCAGGAATCATAACGAATACAAATACTCTCATGCACACATTTGGCGAAATTCACCCCCGGAAAATCATCATCCAATTAAAAATATCATCTCCATTGGCAGTTCAGCTCATGATTGGCAGCTCAATTCAATTAGCCTTTCAGGAGGTCCATTAAAAATTAATGCATTATTTTGAATCGACTCACGTTCATAGAGTAGTATTTCACGCCATCCTTCAGCGTCATGTTCATCGGGAGATTCTGTTGATTGCACTTGGCGCCCCTTGCGTCCACATCGGCTGTAATTCCATGGATGAGAAGTGTCATCAGTTATTCATGCCAACACACAACATTCGCCCCGAGCAGACAAACTCACCTGATCGTCGTCGTCTCTGCAGAAAGATGGATGAGTCACTGACATCAGCCTTGCTGTGGCGCTTCGCCCTCATCACGGGAATGTCCGCCCGGTTCTTGTAGATGTACACAGTTGGCGGCCAGTCCTTGGAGCAATCGATGTGCGTCCTGCCAAATCAACACACACATTCTACAACGTCTCGCACAGGTGAAAAGATAACACAGAAAACTCACGCGTTGTTTGCCAAGTCCATCTTTATGAAGATGATTGGTCCTCTCTTCTGTGCCGATGCGGGCTCCTCCAGGATGCACTTATCCTGATGCGTGTCCAGATACGGATTCATCGCGTCAGAGAGTGTCTTATCCAGCGATAAGCCAAACTACACACAAAATAAATCGATTAATTGCGTGGGAAAATGAGTGACGAGACCTCCTTTTCACCTGTTGTTTCTCCTCACCCACTGGAACCTCGAAGTTTAGAAATTTCACATCGAGAATGCCACCCTGATAGAAGCCGAAGGTGCTCAGGGCTATGTAGCGCCGGTAGTCGTCCTGAAATACCAAGCAAATCCCATATCAATCGGAGCTCCATTGACGCCTCCCCTCGCATTCCCCCATGACGTCAACAAAAAAAGCCATCAAAATATGCACTAAACCAGCATATATGCTCAAACTCACCGTCACTCCGAGGTGGTGCTTCCTTCCCAGCACCACTGGTATCACAAGCAACCATATCCACAAGGATTTCAGTCGCATATTCTGATTTTTCACGAGATAACACAGTTTTCCAGAGATTTGCTTGTTTTTCAGCTCACTCGATGTCACACTGTAGTATCAATGCTCGCTGACTGTGGCGCTGGCGACACTGAGTTGCTCCAGCGAGCGCCCTCTGCAGTGTCAAGTTTGTTTTTGTTGTTGGCTTTTTCTTGCAAGGAGAATGGAAGTGGAAATTGTTGATTACACCAATCGTTGCTGCTCCTGCTTCTCCAGCACGAGTACTCAGAGATCTGTACGGTCAGATTTCAATAGTGATCACACAATCTCATCGGCATGTTTGATGCTAACAGGAATAGATCTTCTGGAGTGCGACTCCTCGTCTTTCACGGAGAATATTTGCCTGCAATGCGTGGAAGATCTTGGGAAAGCGTTTGATTTCCGAGAGAAATGCCTGGAAACGCAGAGGAAGTTCTCTGGGTTAATCGGTGAAGAGAAGGAGGAGGTGAGAGATGAAGTTTCTGAAGAAATTGTTCAGGAAGAAGAGGTTTCTGCCTACATATGTTCTGTTTGCAACAAATATTTCAGTGAGTTTGTCCCTTTTTCCTCTGTTATGCCATAGAAAATAATTGGTGAATTCCTTTCTAGGTCGTGAAATTTATCTGCAGAAGCATATGAAGGAGTTTCATGAAGCGAAAACGGATTTGTCCTGTGAAATCTGCAAGGAGACATTTAGGAAGAGATCTAAGCTTGTCGCCCACATGGTGAAGCACAGAAAGGAGAAGAGTTTTACTTGCGAAGAGTGCCAGAAGGTCTACACAACTCGCAGCGGATGGAGGAAGCACAGGAATCTGGTGCATTTACGGCAGGAGACTTCTGCCAAAGTGCACAATCACTTGTGCAGTGATTGTGGGAAGAGCTTCAGCACGCGACAGGGACTCCAGACGCACAACACGACTCATACTGGCGAGAAGAGCTTCTCGTGCAGCGTGTGCAATAAGGCTTTTGCGCTGGCCAACAGGCTGAAGGCGCACATGAGAGTGCACACAGGAGAGCGTCCTTACAAGTGTTCGGATTGCGGCATGAGTTTCTCCCATAGGAATGTTCTGGTGTGCCACAGGCGTCTGCACACTGGCGAGAAGCCCTTCGAGTGCAGCGTGTGCCAGAAGACTTTCCGCCAATACGCCACGCTCAAAACTCACATGGCAATTCACAATGGAAAGCCGATAGGGTGTCCGGATTGCAAGAAGACCTTCTCACGCGTGGCTTTCCTGCACGTCCACCAGCGGAAGCACACTGGCGAGAAGCCCTACGCCTGCGATCGCTGTCCCAACCGGTACAGGCAGAAGTGTCATCTGGATCAGCACATGGACACGCACGACGGCGTGAAGTATCAGTGCGAAGTGTGCCAGAAAGAGTACTCGAAGAAGTGGAGCTTGAAGGTGCACATGTTCAGCCACGGCGAAGGAAATCGCTTCCAGTGCTCCGAATGTGGATCTACCTTTGTGCGGAGGGATAAGTAATGCTAAAAATGTGATTTTCTCTCGATTTCCCCCTTAATTTCGGTGTTTTTTGCAGATATAAGAAGCACATGAAGACGTGTCATGGACTTGATGCAGATGCTGACCCAACTGATAAGAATATTCCTGCAAAGGAAGCAATTGGAGAGAGTTCTAAGAAGGCAAATGTAATAAAATGCTATTAGACGAGCAAAAAAGAGGTGCATTTTGAGAAAAATCCCGCGTAAAGAAACTCAACGAAGGTCTGACAGCGCTTCTTCGATCAGTACTTTGGTGTCCCGCCGCACGGTGCGCCATGAGCCGCAAGGCGTCGTGCAGTGTTCGGTCATGTTCGGGCAGTGGAAGCCGTCATTCCTCGATTTTCGCGTGAACAAATCCGGATGGCGTGAATATTTTTTTATCTAATGAGAGTACATATTGAGTTTCTGCAGTTGTTCATTGAGTGGAAGTGCATTTAGACGGCGATATTGTGCGTAGGGTAGTGAAAGTGGACGGTCCAAGTTGCGTGGAAGATGGCAAATCGCACACAAGAAACGTCCCCAGTAAGTGTCACTTTTGCGTTTCCTTCCTCGCCTTTTTCACGCAACAATTGCCTCATTTTTCGGCGTGAAAACGGCCAAACGGCGCCCCCAGTCGCCGCCCCGCGCCGTGGGGTGGCGATTTGGGGCAGAAGCGGAGCACCCGAGGGTGGCGCAGGGGCGAAAATGTGCGGAAGAGAGTGTGTGATTCGGGGAGAAATGTCATGGCAGCCTGGCAGCGTGTGTGGTAGTCTCCTCGATGTCGCGCTTCCCTCATGATGGATGAAGGAGAAAAATTCGAGAAAGCGACCTCGCAGTGATCGCGCACACTTCTCATGATTTTCGCTTGCTCAACAGCACGCAAATAGTCACGCCCGGGTGTGACGGTGTGGATGAGTGGCCGGGAAAGGCTCTCATTGGCTCTCTTCTCTTTCCAGTCGATCCTCGAGAGGGTGCGATCGCGCGTGTCCGGATGGTTTTCTCCGACGGCGCACACCGAGCGGCAGGGCAACAGGAACGGAAATCTCCGCAGGCGCCGGGAGTCAGACACTGAGGAGCCTGGGGAGCAGAGCGAGGCTCCGCCGGTGAAGAAGCTCAAATCCTACATTGTTACTGTGAGTACTCAGTCTTCCGGGTTGGTTTGCAGGAGTGGAGTAATGTGTGCTTGTGGGATTTCAGCAAACTCCCGTGGACACTGGCGCTGATCCGAGGAGTCTAACCTCGAATTTCGTCGCAAACACATCAACACCGACTACCTCAGGCTTTGGCACGCATCGCAGCTTCCTGGACTACAGCAACCGGCCTCCGGAGCCCTATAGCTTCGTCAGATCCTCCCCGCCGGTGCACCATCCGCAGAAATCGGCGCTGAACGAGGTGGTGCTGCCGGTGGTGAGCGAGGAGGCCGTGCGGCAGGACGAGGTGGAGGAGGAGGAAGAGGAGGAGGAGGTGGAGGAGAGTATAGCCAATGGGAATGACTCGGCGTCCGAGAGTGGCGCCAGCATGAGCAGTGCATCGGTGAACATCTTCGGTGGGAAGAGTGGCGACGGCCTGAGACAGTCGAGTGTCATCAACTTTGGCTCTCACCTGCAATCGAAGAAGTCCCTCTTCTCCGACAAGAACATATCGATGTCGATGAGTTCACTGAACAGTCTCTCGCAGAAGCGCTCCTTCAATGCATCTCTCTACGGTAGCACATCGGCGCTGAGCGACAGTCGCCTTCTCAACATCCAATCGCCCTTCTATCGCGGCCGGACAATGTATGGCGGCGCATCAGCTTATTCGGCCATGCGCTTCAACAATCCCTTGAGGAGTAGACAGATGCCTTCGACGCGTCCCTCCTCGAGTCTATCGAATTTCTCCTCGTCATCGACCTCACAGCTCGGCGGCGCTCAGGCCGCGGCGCCCGGTGGGAATAGAGATGAGGTGCCGCTGTCGAAGACCGCCAAGAGGATCATGGAGATGATGAATCAACTGACGGGACCGCTGTCGGATGTGCGGAAGATGGCGCACAGCAGTCTCGCGGGTAGACAGGTGCCGTCGCTGATGCAGAGGCAGAGATTCACGGAGCAGGATTTGCAGGCCAACAGGGCGATTCGGCTGCAGACGCCCAAGACTCCCTACTCGAGAGGGTCTTCATCCAATGCCGCCGCGAGGATGAACTCTGTGCCGCCGATGACGGAATTGCAGGTGCCATCGATGTCGCAGCTGCTGCAGATGAAGAAGCTCCAGAGTCAGACGGAGCAGTTGCGGAAGTGCGCCATGGACTCAAATAGCACACTCAATCGCGTGACGGAGTACAAGTTGCCGGACACGAAGGGTGATGCCGAGGGCGCGAAGCATGTGAATAAGATGAGGAACAAGATTTCGAAGGTGCGTCCGGAGAATAGCAGCGCTGCCGACGATGTGGCGCCCGAGGTGAAGTTGCCCGATGTTCAGTTGCCGCAATTGATGTCAGTGCCGAAGTTTGACATCACTTTCCCGGCGGTGGTGGAGAAGAGAAATGGACCGAGTGAGTGGAAGGCGGAGAAGGCGAAAGAGAGAGAGTCCACTGCGAATGTCTTCAAGTTCTCTCAGCCAATTGTCGTGGGACAGACAGTCAATTCGACGTCTAGCATTGTTGGGAGCTTCAAATTCTGTGAGCCAATTGATGTGCGGGAAATGCAGGAGGTGAAGAGTAATCCTGCGGTGCCGATGTTCACCTATGCGCCAGAACTGGCGAAGAAGCGTCCGCAAGTCACAGTGGCGGAGAAGGAGAGCCCGGTGAAGTCACCGGTGCCACAGACACTGAAGATCGGCAGCAGTGTCTTGGAGGCCCTGAAGACGTCTCCACTGAAGATCTCGAGTGTGCAGAGTGAGAAGACGGCGCTGGAGACGGTGAAGGATCCTATTCCGCTGAAGATTGTCAATTCCTTCGGCAGTCAATTCAAGGCGGCGGCCAACACGTGGGAGTGCGATGCTTGCCTGGTGCGCAACAAGGAGACAGACTCGGCGTGTGTGGCGTGTGGAGGTGCCAAGAAGGGTGCAAGCAAGCCACCGGCTGTTCCGGTCGCGACTCCAGCCGCTCCGGCGATGGACAGTGGCTTCAAGGCTCTGGTGGCGGCACAAAATGCCAAGTGGGAGTGTCCGGGTTGCATGCTGAAGAACGACAATGCGCTGCAAAAGTGTCCGTGCTGTGAATCTCCACGGCCGGATGGTGCCTTAAAGACAACACCGTCTACTGCCACTGCCGCCAGCTCCAATCCCTGGGCGCTTGCGCCGAAGGTCGCCGACGAGGGCTTCAGCAAGTTGGTGTCACAGCAGAAGGCCAAGTGGGAGTGTTCGGCGTGCATGACGAGAAACGAAGCTGGAAAGAATCGGTGTGCTTGCTGTGATCAGGCGAAACCGGGCGCCGCCACGGACAATGTGCCGCAATTCTCCTTCAGCACTGTCTCTTCCTCGTCCAAGTTCACGTTCGGCATGCCAGCGTCTACGGCGGTGAGTGAGAAGATTGAGGCCACATCGACGGTGACAACGACGACAGCTGGAGGCTTCGTGTTTGGCGGCTCCTCGTCGGCCACAACGACGTCAAGCACCACCACCACCAAGGAGAGTGAGAAGACTGTGAAGGAGGCGCCAAAGAGTGGATTTATCTTTGGCAATGTCGCATCTACTGCGAGTTCAGTGACTCAAGAGCCGCCAAAGTACATCTTTGGCGCCCCCAAGGCAGCAACAACCACTGCAGAGTCGCCAGGGAAGCTTGTTTTTAAAGCCACGACAACGGTGACTACAGCTGTCGCTACTACAGCATCGACTACAGTGACTTCCAGCACGGGAGGCTTCAAGTTTGGTGTTCCTGCGCCTGTGACCACTGCGGAGTTGCCAACAACGCCCAAAGCGCCGCCAGCATATACTTTTGGGGCCTCACTGAAACCCGCAGAGTCTTCTCCGGCAGCGAGTGAGACTAGCACTAGCGTCTCGACGACACCGAAAGCGTCAATTGTCTTTGGAACGCCAGCTGTGACGACGTCAACTACCACGAACCTCTTCGGCAGCACCACTGCCACGGCAAGTCCTTTCGCGAGTTCCACAGACGCCTCGTCGTCGCTGTTCAAGAGTCCCATGACATTTGGCGAGGCTGCAGCTAAAGCGGAGCCACCCAAGAAGATCATTGAGTTCGGGAATGCTTCGAAGGCATCGCAACCGTTCACTTTTGGAGCTACCACGCCAGCTGTCTCCACATCCGCTCCGCCTGCGTTCTCCCAATCCACAGTCACGACGTCAGCGCTGACCAACCAACCGTCTGTGTTCGCCTTTGGGGGCGCTTCGACTGCGCCAGCGGAACAGGCGAAGCCTCAGCAGACGCCATTCATCTTTGGCGCGGCCGCGGCGAAGCCTCAGGAAGAGAAGCCGCCACAAGCGGCAGTCACCACGCCGGCAGCGTCGACGGGATTTGGGGGATTCGGAGGATTTGGTGGACAGCAGCAGCAAACACAGAATCCGCCAGCGTTCGGTTCGATGGCCACGTCTCCGACCTTCGGCGCCGCGGCCACTCAATCGCCCTTCAACAGTGGCATGTCTCCACTGAATTCTGGCGCTCAGTCAGGATTCGGAGGCACTCCAGCATTTGGTTCCACTCCATCCGCAAATCTCTTTGGCGGCATTTCCGGATCGACCGCCAATGCTGCTCCGTCGGTGTTCAGTGCTTCACCGGCGACGGGCCAACAGCCGGCGGCAAGTGCAAACATCTTTGGATCACCGGCCAGCAAACCGGCGGGCGTCGCGATGCCATTTGGTGGGCAGCAATCGCGTGGATTTGATGTGAATGATGGCATTGAACCGTCAACGAAGAAGATATCAACGGCATTCGAATTCGGCGCCCCAAAACCGGCAGAGCCGTCAAATGTAAGTTTTGATGTCTTCTTGTGCTGAATTGAGGCTGAATATTGATGGCTGTGATGATTTCTTTTGCAGACTCTGTTCACATTTGGCGCCAATAATAATAATACACAAGCTAATCAAGGAGATAATAAGCCAGCGTTCAATTTTTCTGCCGGACAAGCGCCAAATTTCAACTTTACCGGCTCAGCTCAACAAGTAAGTGAATGAATAGAGTGCGAGCATGTGTGAAATGTGTGAAGATGAAGAGTATACTAATTTTTCTTTATATATATTTACTTGCTTCATTTGCAGAACTCAAACCAGCCGTTCTCATTTAATGCGGCACCATCGGCATTTAATTTCGATGGCGGAAGCACTGAGGTGAGTTTGATTGCCAACCATATTACCAGTGTTTCTGTTTTTTCCCTATTCTTCTCCGTGTTTATTCTGTCTTCCCATGCAGAAGCATTTTTATTATTTTTGCCAAATGCGCATGAAAAGTCTTGGTCAATGTCCATTGAAAAAAAAGACATTAAACTTGTGTTGAGATATTGTGAAAGAAGAAGAGAAGAAAAAAAAGTGGGGGCAGAATGCATGCTCTGTCTCAATGTGTGCAATTGATGATGAATAGAAATATTGACGATTTTTTTCTTTCTCTGACTAATTTCAGACTGGTACAAATGCACCAGCCTTCTCATTTGGTGGAACTACTAATTTGTTTGCGTAAGTACTAATGTCCTTTAATCACATTGTTGTGTTTGAAGTTTGCTGTGCAGAGTATCTCTCGATGTGCCGAGGATTTTGGGTGTAAAGTGAGGATTTGAAGGGATGTTTTTGTTGTGCTTTCAGTGTGAATCCGGGTCAACAGCCGCAACGAAGGAAGATCTGTCGCGGATTGCGTCGTGTGCAGCGATAGATGATGCGATGAAGTGTGAAAAGAGGATGGTGGTCAATAGGGATGGCAATAGGGTGAAGATGAGGTGTTCAGGGATGAATTTGACAAAGAGACCATCGATTTATCAGTGGCGCTCTGTGAATCCCAATAGGAGATGTGCAAGGGCAGCTGAACATGGGAGATTGACCACGAAAGATGAGGTTGGACAGGAGACAACAGAGGGAATCGTTATCGCCGACCAGCCGAGGATGATGCGAAGTAGTAAGTTTGTGAAAATCAATAGCCCAATTTCCGCGAAAATTGCAGCAAAAACCAAGATATTTGTGCCAAGAAAGACAGCAGTGAATATGAATTACGGAAGAAGATACAGTAGATACAAGTATATCGCTCCACATTTCACAGATAATATGATGAACAGGAAGATGATGATTCGGGGAAGAGGTGTTGCGAAAGGATCAAAAGTGATGTCTCACGAGTGACGAAAGAGAGAGAGATAGAGAGGATCATGGCAGAAGAACATGTCGAGAATATTGATTGTTTTTATGTTTAAAAATTGATAAATGTGAGTTGAAGAAGAAATCAATGAATGATGGAGAGAACACATCATCAACATCATCATCAAAAGAAAAAGGAAAAAAAATTATTGATAACATGTTAGTCACATACTTATTAAAAAAAATTATAAAAGAAATGAAGATTTTCGCATAAGAAATTCATGGAGAAGATGGAGTCGATAAAATAAATATAATACGATAATTAAATTGAAATAGACAGAGATTTAGTGTAACTAATTGATAAAGAAAAAAAAGAACTATTTTAGGATGTAATTAATGTAATGGAAAGTGAGGAGAAGACGAAGAAGAATGGGGGATGAATGTAAATAATAATTTTTTTTAACTTTGTGTTGATGCAGAAAAAAACACATTTGTTCTTCTGTAGAGATATAAAAAAAAATGCAACTTACTTAATTTCAAGAAAAGATTAATGGAATTATTTTTGAATCTTGGCTTTTTGATGGGAAACTTCTGTAATGACCGGGTTGAAATGAGTAAAAAAAAAAAGAAGAAATATTTAATGTGGATAAATGTAAATATCGATAACAATTTCATGAATGAAGAGAAGATGAGAATATATTTTGCATAGTAGAGAATAGTTTCTTTTTCGTTTCTATTGCCGTGAGACTTGTGGAATGGCATTGGAGGAGTAGAGAAGGAAGAAAAAGAAAAAAGTTCGAAGAGAAACGAAAAGGACTCAGAAAAAGAAGGAGTTGAGAGAGAAATATTAGTTAGATAATATTTGATGAAGAAGAAGAAAAAATGGAATTATAGTCGTATGAGACACATTTGAATATAATGGCTAAGTTTTAAGGGAGTTTAAGGATATTGAAGGAAAAAAAACTATTGCAGGATGCTTTAATGACAAAATAAAAATATTTTTTATCATTTAAATGGCAATAATTTTCAATAGATTTTAGCTATAACCCTTATATTGATAATCGTTTATTTCTTCTTCTTTGCTTTAGCACTAAGATTTACTTGATGTAGTTTAGGTTTAAATAATTATAATTAGTTGTGTTTCTTTTTTTATCCTCAATACTGATGAATATATATATAAATTGTACGTAATGAGAAGAGTAAAAAAAATGAATGATGAAAAATTATTGCCAATATTAAATGACTAAAAAATATTTGTTTAATATGTGATTGTTTTTTTATATTTAAAATATAAAAAAAGATGATGAAAAGTTTATAATAAGATTGTACCTTCAAAATGATGTACATATAAAATTTTTTGTACACGAATTACATTGTAAAAAGAGAATGAAGAAAAAGTTAAATATTCAGGCATCCTCCAATATGTGAATAATGGTAAATATAAATATTAAATATATTGATTAAAAGAAGAGCGACAGAGAGAGAGAGAGAGAGATTAACTCTAAGGAAGAAGAAATATTAATAAAAGAAAATGCAAGTATTTCTTCCGCCTCGTCGATCTGCATCTCCGTCACCTGTGACTGTGCTCGTTTTTCCTAGTTTGGCGATCTGTGGCGTCTGGAGATATCACGAGTGCGCGATCTTCTCACGGATCTCGAGCGGCACGACCTGAGAGCCTTGGCGCACAAGACATCCGAATGACGGCGATCGTGACACTCTCTATCGCGGCATCTTTCAAGGCTGCTGCTGCTGCTGCTGCTCCGGCGCGCTTTTCCCTCACGAGAGAGTGTGACGTGCGTCACTATTCTCCCCACGGCACTGCTTCACGAGAGCTTTTCCGCGCTGAACAACAACAGACCGCAAGAGTGGCGGAAGGAAGAGATTTAGTGGGTCACGAACCTCCAAATTTTCGCTCGCGTGTCTTTGGACAAGTGTCTGACCTAGAAAAGTGTTTTCGAGGGACAATTGAACTAATCTCTTGTGGTTCCTACAGTGTCCGAAATTAATGTGTATCACAAACGCTTAATTACGCATTTTAATGCCTTTTTGCCCATGTCTTGTGTTTTTCCGATTTGGGGGAGAAAGAGAGACTTTCGGCATCAGAATGATTGTCGCCTTGAGGAACTCTTAGAAATGCGCGGTCGGAGAGTCATTAATCCAATTTGAGGGATTGATTTTGAGTGTTGGCTTAAACTTGAAAATTCTTCACCCATTTTACTGCCCAAAACGAAGGTTTTCTGCCCGCTGGCACCGATGCTATCGCCCGGAATGGCGTGCGAGATGAAGTGTGCAGTGCAGCTGATATCTTATCGACGCCGTTCGGCGACTTGTCTCGCTCCCTGTCCGGAGACAGAAGTCTTTGGCGGGCTGGAAACACTCATTCAGCACACTTTTGTGCGATCAGCAGAGAAATTATGTGGCAGAATTGAGCCAATCGACTCTAGAGGAGTGTGAATGATGCCAAAGTAGATTCGATTTCAATGAGATTCATGCTATTCTTCAGGCTAGTCTCTAATCATAAGGATATATCTGACAATGATCTGACATCGCTTCGGGAAATGCATGAAATTGTTCGTAGTTTTCATAATTTTATATGCCCTCCTGGGAATCCAAGATCACCCATAAGCCTAGTGGATTCTTATCAAATCTGCACCATTTTCACTCATGTGTAAACACTTGTACAAACATCAGTGATAAGGAGAGACTGAACTGCGTCTCCAGTCGGCCAGGGGAGGATTTGAGGCTGGCGAAGGGTGTAAATTCCACTACAATCGCTCACTGGCGTTTCCCACACCACTTCCGAGCAGGAAAATCATCACGTGTCTCACGGACGCTCGTCGGCTGTCGCGCTCACTCCCCAATCGATCGCCACGAGCGCGGCCCAAAAAGCTCCGTCGCATTTCCCTCGCTCTCCAGTGCCCAATAAAACGTCCGAGCGGCAGCAAGCCAGCGACTCCTCGACATCGCAGCGCTCGATGCTTTTTCCTGGGCAAAGATCGGGTCAGTGAGTGAGATTCGCAAATCTCAGCAAGTGTGCGCCAGAGAGAAAATCCCAGTCGAAAATTGTGAAGAGTGAATTTCTGCCAGCACCACAATGTCGCCGTCTGTGAGTGTCCTGAAGAGGCATCAAGCCATCCCAGTGCTGAACACTCGAGGAACGCACTACGAAGTGGGATTCGATGTGGTGAGTTGAGAGTTTGTGTTCTGCCATCCTTCGATGGCGTCGCCAAGGCGACACGCCACCGCTGAAAAGGCTTAAAATAGGGCAGGAAGGTCGGAAACACGATGCACGCGCGTCCTTTTGCCTCAAAAACTCCTTCACCTTCACTTTAAACGCGATTTTAATAGTGAGAACAGAGTGTTTCTGATTATGAAGATATTGATGAATTGCTGAGCGAACTAATTGACTGCTAAGTGGCATTGTCTCTTGAGCATTTTTTAAATTCATCGCGAAGTTTAGCTGAATTTACTACTCATTAAACATTTGCACTTGGATTTTTTCTCAACAATTGAGCAATATATCTTTGTTATCAAGAACGCAAAAACGTCCTAGTAAAGTCAAGAGTCAAAAATCTCGTATTTATTTAAACGGTTCTGTAGTTAATTACTATGATAAGGTTGCTTTGATAAGTCACCTTATTTTTTGCTTCTTATTCACCGTAATTCTTAGTTTTTTTCTCATCTTAAGAGACGATAAGAAGATTTCTATTTTAGGCCTGATTTTAGGTGTTTAATCTTATCACGCACGATCATCTTTTTCTTCTCTCTGCTAAAACATAAGTTTATCATGAGGAAAAACGCCCTGAAGCATGAAGTGAAGGGTTTTTATGTGATGAAGCAGCAAAAATGAGTTTCATTTGTAAGATTGTCACGAAATTTTTGCCACACGACGACAATTTTTCGTCGCATTATCAGCAATTTTCATGCCAACAGTGTTGGATAACAGAACATCCTCGATTGATCACACTTTTCTTAAGCAAACAGTGGCGCAGATTTGATGGATAAGCGAGTGACAAAGAGATTAAGCAGCAGAGACAATTTAATCCTTCGATTGCATAGATTGAGATTGAAGTTAAGCACCATGTCGGAACGCCATTCATCAAAATTCGTGACTCAATGGCAATTAATAATCACCGATCGGCGCCCAATTAATGTGCTTTAATCGCAGACAGAATGTCTCTAAAGCGTTTTGTCTCTTCAGGGAAATAATCCAGAGTGTTGAGTCCCTTTTACCTCGGAAAAATGTGTCATTGATGTGATTTATTGGATGTCATTTATAGCTAAACGTACGTTCACTTCTCTCTATAAAAAGTCTTAAAATAATGTCTGTTGAGGAATAACAGAAAATCGTGTGAATGCTTATCGTCTAAGAATAAGTCAGTGGTGAATCATGCCGAAAATAGTGACGCTGGATGGATTTATAAGTCTTGAAAATAGACAAAAGAAAAAGTTGCATATAAAATTCGATGGTTTTCAGAAACCACAATTTTTTGGATCAATTTTTCGTTGAATTTATGATCTTTTGTAAAAGTAAACCAAGCAATCAGGTTGCAAGATTGAAGAAAAATTCAAGTTTGATCAAAATTCCCATAATCGGTCAGCAAATGGCCAATTTTGAAGTGATCTCTGAAATCTAAAATCTGTGTGTTTCTTTTTCTGCAGGGTCGCACCTTTGCGTCGCTGATCAGGGAGTTTCTCACCCTGTCTGAGCCCCTGAACAACACATACTTACCGCTGTACAACACGAGCGAAGGACGAGCTGTGTACAATGAGACGCTGAATTCCGTGCGCGCCTCCTTTCCCCAGTACATCCGGGAGCTGGAGGGAACGGCCGATGGGGCCCAGGTGGAATTCCACAAGGTGAGTCGATGCTTCTTGTGCAACATTGTCACCTGTTCTCGTGTGTCCATTCTAAAATGCCATTGCATCACAGCCCTATTCTCGAGCTCTGCTTCTTGTTCTCGTGTGCGCGCAATATTATTTGCTTGCAAATCCAATTTATTTGTCGCCGTGGAAGGTCAGATGACCTTCGAAGAATGCCACGCGATTCACGGTGTTGCATTAGATTAATTGGCTTCTCTCTTTGCCACGGCTGCAGCTCTTCCTCCTGCACATGGACGATATCACGCCGAAAGCCGTGGCGGGCAGGAATAGTGTGGATCAGCCGATTGGCTGCACCAGCATCTGCGTGAATCAGCCCGGCGAGGAGTTGATTGCCCACAATGAAGACACTCTGCCAGAGGTGATGAACTTCTTCTATCTCGTGTCGGCGCACATTGTGTGCGATGAGCCGCAGGGGAAGCACAAGGTGAAGGAGGAGAAGTTCACGTCTCTCTGCTATGCTGGACATCTTCCTGGCTACACCATGGGCTACAATCACCACGGATTGATCTTCACCATTAACACGCTGAGCGCTGACACGCTGCACAGTGGAAAGACTCGTGAGTATTCCCTTGATTCATCCACTGAGAGATCATCAATTGACGCTCTGATCTTCCTTTCTCAGCTCGTCACTTCATCACTCGCGCTCTGCTCAGCGCAGACAACTTCGTGCAGGCGCAGCACATCATCAGAGACGCTGGCGTGGGCGCAGCCGATGGCTGTTCCATCAACATGACCTTCCTGCGCCAGGATGGGCCCAGAGTGTTCCACAACATCGAGATGGGCCCGGCGAAGAGCAACGAGAGTCAGCTGGAAGTGAAGACAGCCGCCAAGGGAGAATACTTGGCGCACTGCAACAAGTGAGACATCTTTCTTTGCCTCTCAAACACTCGCCCTTCAAAGGCGCTCTTCTTTGCAGATACCTTCGCTTGCCGGTACCCGAAGTCACGGGACTCATCATTGATTCCAGTGTGGAGAGAATGCTGACGCTGCGCAAGCTGGGAGAGCCCAAGAATCGCGCTGATGTCATTGAGATGCTGGGCGATGAATCGTCCAAAATCCACCCAGTCTTCCGTGGAAGACGTGACGATCCAATCAAGACGATCGCCGTGGGAATTTTCGATTGCATCGCACGCACGTGGACTCTGTACTCGGACAATCCCAAGCGCAATGAGCCTCTCGTTGTCCTGCCACTCGTGATTAGAGACTAAATAGAGAAAAATCCCACCAGCTTTTCATGTGAGAAATCCCAGGTGATTTCTCTTCAGCCGTTTTCTTATCAAATTCACCACTCCAAGTGATAAGGCATTTCAACATAAACCCAGCAATATTGGAACAACGTTGCAAAATTGTTCGTTATTAATTAAATTATATATCAATGGCTAATCGAGACTTAAAACATACGACTTTTATTCTCTCCACTCTTCTGATCTTGATACATTTTGCCTTTTGCTTTTCTTAATTGTTGAGTGTATTTTTGTGTGTCCCTTTAAATTGTTTTCTCTGCTCAAAACTTGTTTTAATGTCAATTCTTAATGCTAAATTTTTATCCATCTTTATACTTTTTTTTTAATCTTTTTATAAAGTTTATATAATATAAATTACTCTTTACGAAAAAAAAACAACTCCCAAAGAAAGTTTTCTGTGTGTTTTCTCATTGTATATATATATAAGTTAAAAAAGTACACAACAATTACGCGCCTTGCTTAAATATTACAACTAAAGATATTCTCGCAATAATATTTAACTCAACACTCCTGCAATTGTTGTCTCTCTTCAGCGCTGTTACTATTCAAGTTCATGAGCTTTTTTCTAGTCTTTAATGCTGTTTTTGGTTGATTCTCCATGTCGTCAAACTTGCATCTCAACAGCGAATTTTACTGTTTTTTTTTTCTTTCGTCTTGTGACACAAATTAAATTGCCAGATACTCAATAATTCATTATCGTGAAGCTCATAACAAAGAAGTGAACAATCACTTCTCATCATGCCATGGAAGCGATTTTCGATGCATTTCGCAATGCCTTAAAAATGCAGCATAAATGTGGCAGAAATCACGTGACTGTAAGCAATTTAGAAAAAAAAAGAAATATCGGTTGTGGGACAAAAAAGTCCATCGTTCAGCATTTATCTAGTCTTTCTGCCACAAAACACTTGAGAATTTCCTGTCTGTACATTATTTGTTTCAATCGGAAAACAGGGGGAATGAGTCAAATTGGCGGCTATGAGATGCAACATGCACAATTTATGCTCAATAACGTTCTCGAATTGTCTCTGAAGTCTAGTAGAAAAATGTTGTAAAAAGGCATTATCTCGATATAAGATTATTGCGTTATCGTTCTTCTTCTTCTTCTCTTGCTATTGAGATTTGGGGTGAACATTTCAATGATTTCCTCCTTCATTTTTTTAATGTATTATTTCTTCTTATAAATCATCAGAGTGTTTTTTTTTCAATGATGGTCAAAATGTATGGATTCTCTCAAATTGAACTGAAAGGAGACAAAATTAACAGAGACAAAATCACAATATAACAATTTATAGAGAAGACAAAATTATAGTGAAAAAAAAAATCTCCGTTCGAATAGAAAAAGAAAAAAATCTTAATACATTACACGCTAATTGCCAAATTCAAAGGTGAGGAAAAAGAGTTGAACATTGAATAAACATTATGGAATCTTATAGAGTAATTATTTACGATAACTTATCGAACTTTTATCCTCTTTTTCTCTCTTTCTCTCTCTCTCCCCCTCTTTTGCTCTGTCGCTCTTGCAAAATCTTTAAATTGTTGAAAACTTGAATTCTCGATTCAATTGCTATTAAATGTTTAAGAATTGAAAAATATTCTTCTTTACACCTTTCCTTTTAAACAGTGTTTGCGTGTAGTTTGACGCTGTTCTATTATTTTTGAAGTTTGAAAATGTTTGTTTGTTTGTTTTTTGAGAAAAAGATTAATGTTACCACCTAACTGAGGGCTTCTCCCTAGATCCTACAAGAAACGTTGTCGTTTACTGCCTAAGGATTCCATATTGACGTCTAGTGAGGGACTTGCCGGACGTTTACAGTGGCGGGCTACTTCTCCGGTAACGAACGCATAAAGCTCAGGACCCCTGAAATGGGAAGGAAGCAGACAAAGCCTATGAAAAAGAGTGCTAAAAGCTCAGAAAAGCAAAGCTTTCGAATAAGACACAATATCGCTCAATTTTCAGCTAAGAAAGCGTCTCAACTTGCCTGGATCTTCGTGCTAAGGCTTCTTTGAACGTGTGCATCTCGGGCTCCGTGGCCAGAGGCAGCTGAGGACTCACAAAAGGTGTTGCACCGTGTTGCATTAAATTGTGATGATTGTTGATGTGTTGTTCTGGCTTCGGAGATGATCTGCTGACAACAAAGAAAACACAGAGAAAGAGAGAGAAAATGCATGACAATGACTCTCGCGATCGGATTCTCGCTCGCAGTTCTTCCTCACCTCATTTGGGAAGCTCGAGATACGTGAAGTGGTGGCGGAGGCTTTCCGGCCAAGTAGGAGAGGAGATCTTCGCGTCTGATGTTTCTTCGGCGCTTCTTCGCCCAGGCTGCGATCTCTTTGTTACGTCTTTGGTAGCCACATTGCACGGCAACATCGCCAATTCTCCGCAGACCCTCGGTGGAGTCTGTGAATCAGGGAAATGCACACAGTCAGTGGGTGACATCAGTGGAAATGTACTGGGGCAAGAGAGTCACCTTTGTAGAGTGTTGTTATGGTTCCGGCAGCTGTCTGAAATGGCAACCACAGGAGCCCCGAATCGTGGCCACTCGATCGATCTGCCCGTCGAGCGTGTGCAGTGCGGCAATCGGTGGCGGAGCGCCAGGAGAAAAGAGAGAAGAGATTCGTGAGTGTGTGAAATCAAACAAAATGTCTGACAAATTTAGCCTTGTCCTTGACTCGTGCCTCTTCTGGACACAAAGCAGCCACCCCTGCTCTGGCCACTCGGGCGCTTCTCACCTTTGTAGAGCTGCGCCACTGCCGTGGCGGACTCCTGAAAGGACCTCCACACATGCTTAATGACAGCATCTCGCTCCGCGATGAGTTCCGTCTCGAAATCTGGCTGATTCTCAATCGCCTCCATGTACTGATTCTCAATTGCTGCTATCCAGCTCTCCTCGCTGTCCGACTGCATCCTGCCGCGCGCACTTCACTTTGTCTCTACACGGAAAACACGTTTGCACTGCTCACGGGCACCCCACGGCACTCCTACGACCAGTACAGGGAAGAATTCAGTGGCGAGGAAAAAGACTGAATTTTCAGAGCCATGTTGAATGATTCCATCTGACGTTCAGGGCTGCCAATCTTCCAGTTGTGAAAGTTTTTTTATGGCCCAGTTATAAAAATTTATGGCACGCGAGTGAGCTTTTCAGAGGAGATCCAATGGAAAGGGAAAATCTGGTGTTCGTGACGGGATTTGGTCCCTTTGCCGGTCACGAGTCCTGCAATGCCAGCTGGGAGGCCGTCAAGCTCCTGCCGGACACGGTGACGGTCAGGGAGACGAGGTATCGCATTGAGAAGCTGCAGGTTCCGGTGGTGTACTCGGACGTGGACAAGATTGTCCCCAGGATCTGGGACAAGAATCCTCTCGTGAGCACTCAATCCTTCGCCACAGACTCTCAGCTTGTCCTGCAATCTAATGCCTGTTGCTTTGCAGCTTGTCATCCACTGTGGCGTCCACTCGTCAGCCAGCAAAGTGCACCTGGAGAAGTGCGCCTACAAATCCTCCTATCCCAATCCGGACTGGCAAGGCGAGTGTCTGCCCTCGAGCTCAGCCAATCTCTGCCGCCATGGTCAAGACTGTGATAAACTGGAGACTTCGTTCAACGTCCACAAAATCGCCGATGAACTCAATGAGAAGCATAAAGACATCTTCTCTGGATCCACTGACGTCGGCCAGTGAGTCATCATTTCTTTATCACCTCCCAAATCAAGCTCTCAAGATGATTTTCCCTTCAGCTACCTCTGCGGCTACATCTATGTGAAATCCCTGGATTTCTGCCCGTCCAGAACGCTGTTTATTCACGTGCCAAAAGTGGAGATCATCGATCCTGCGACTGTCCAAAGGGGAATTGTGGATGTTATACAAAAATGCCTGGAACAGATTTGAGAATTTGAGGATTTTGAGCATGAAAATTAAAACTTTCCGTATGTTTTAGAACTGTTTATTACTTTTCTTCCTAATATTAAGAGACAATATAATTCAATTGGGGTTTCTTTCTTCATATATTCTCTGTAAATAAACATCTTTGTCACATGCAGCTAAGAAAATTCCTCTGAATTCTTGTTGCTCTCAAAAAATCCAGTTCTCAAAACAGATTAAATACTTTTTTTTCTTCAATTCACTCTAAATATGCACAGCGTTTCAGCTGAAATTGGCCTAAAAATATTCATTCACTGGGCTTTGGATAGAAAACACAAGATTAATCAAGAAGAAATGAGCTTAGAAACTTAGGAAAATTCTCAATGATTCTTTTTAAAAGCAGCTTTTGGTTTAGTTTCATTATATTTTCGTAACTATTAAACTTCTATGTTTTTTTAGTAATGTTATTCTAGGTTTTTAAAATTAAATTGACTCTGGTTTCATGCGAGAAAACTAATAATTGGAAAAATTTTCCTCTTCTATATTTTCTTTTCCATAATTCAATTATTTATATGCAATCATCTATCAGATGATTAACTAACTTACTAATTAATCCATCATTAAATGTTCTCCTTGTAATTAACATGCCTTCAATCAAGAACACTGTAAACGGGATGTGCAATTTCTGGAGACTTGAGGAGATTTTTCTCTCACTTTCTTCTTCCACCTCCTCAAAACTATATTGCAAAGCATGGCGTATTTCTTTATCCTAAGAGAATTTCTCTCATCTAATTAACTTTACTGCCAATACTGCAATTTTCTCTTACACTCCTATCGCGATGAAGTTCGCTGATTTGTATGGCACACGCTATTGTTGCAAAATCATTTGCATGTTCTCAAGCAAAGAATTTTTGCACTAAAGGGACTTTTTTTCTCATATGTCATCACCTATAATTTATCCTTGTAATTTAATTTACTGATATGCTTAATTAATTCTCACTTCATCTCTCCCATTCTAATCATTCTAACACGATAAATTTATTTATATTGCACGCCACACGAAAAAATTCTCTATTCTTTTTTTTTCCTAAAAATCATTCTTTTCTTTCATCAATCATTATATGTGAAATCCTCTCCTAAACATTTTTTTTCTTTCTACACTTCTGAGACGATAAAAAACGGAGGATTTTGCGGCAGAGAAGAGACAAAAATTGTACTTTCAATCGAGATTTGATAAGTGTTTTTTTTTCTGTTATCGGTAAAGAAGTTTGCGAAAAAGTCAAAGATATACTTGAAAAATTCGGTAAATTGCAAGGCACAGAAGAAGAATTTATAGTTTTTTGTTCTTTTCTCTTTAAAAAATGTAATATGTCGGTGGGCGAGAATCATCTTCTCATTATCCCAGTTGACAAGGAGATCTTAAAAGATATTCTGTCTGACTCAGTGACAAAAATTCGATATTTATACAAACACAAATTCATTCTGAAGAGTCTCTCTAAGCATTTCAATCACACACTTTCTTTCTTTCTTCCCACAAAAATTTCTAATATAACACATTCATTGTATTTTCTCCATTTTCTCTCTTTCTCTCTACCATAAGAACTAAGGTTGAACAACCATTTCTCGCGCAAAAAAGTGATGATAAAAATTTGTGTGCTTCATTTCGCCAAGTTAGAAGATCGGAAAATGTAACTTTCCCTCCAAGTAAAGTTGGAGAAGTCAATTGGAAGAATATATTTTTCTCTCATTTTGAGAAATTACTAATACTAGAAATGCGAATTTCTTCAATTGTTTTTCTTTTTCTTCTACAAATTCGCCAGTTTCTTTTTTTTATCTTATTCTTCTTCATTATTTTTTTTAATTCATAGAGAAATTGCTTATGTATTCATTCTCAAAAAATATGGTGTAATTGTCTTTCACTAGGAAATGAAAATGCTCAGCACTGAACAGTGAGTCTTTTCCACACACCAAAAAAGAATAGCACAAATCACTCTCTCAAAAAAGAAAACCCATAGATTGTGGAAAACCAATAAGTTCTGAATTGGAGAAAAGCATTACAAGGTCTGCGCTTGAGGCGCTTGACAATTTGTCAGCAATAAAAACTCACTGTCGGCGTGCATTTCTTCTAACACTCTGTCGTGGACCAAAAAATCCATATCTAGTAAAATCCTCCTACACAAGAAGGGACGTTTTCTTTTTTTTTATAATGTTCGTCACAGACTAATTTGAATCACACACCATCTTCGCACTTTTTGCTAATTTCCCTCATCGTCAATCGTGGACTAATTCAATAAAATCCCTACAATTCTCCGGTCAAAATACAACAGTTAAAAAAATATATCAATATATGACTATACATCTGATGGATGTAAAATATCTCACGGTACTGTAACTCACACTCTCCCTTGGAGTTCCATCCATCCATCTCTCAATTCCCTGCACACACTCTCCTCGGCCTTGTCGTGGCATCTCGAAAGGTTGGTCAGAAATCACAATGTGAAGATCCTCTTTAAATGCCCCAGCGCAAATACCGTTGTCGCTGCTATAAAATAATCTCGGGGGTTTCTTGGGTGAAGAAGGTCGCCTCGCACGCCTCAAAGAGATCCGTCTGCGTCTGGGCGGAGCGGCTCATCTGGCTCCTCGACGCCGCTATCGTCTGCTGCAGCAGAGCATTGATGTCTATCGCTGGCCACGAGACCAGCGAGACGTTGTGTCATAAGGCGTCGCGGACGCACTCTGAGCACTGCAGCACGGACGCCAGGCTGCTGTTGGACGTCGTGGCGCACAGGTCGCGGGTGCTGGTGTAGCTGCCGTACTCGTGCGCGTAGCAAATCCCGCCGTCGCTCCCGTCCGACTCCTTGCGCCGGTGGAAGTGATGGTGATGATGATGGTGGCTGTGGGCCTGCTCCTGCGAGCAATACCCATTGTCCTCGACATCCTCGCCCATGTCCACTTCCAGGGTGCGCAGGAGGACGCTGTTGAGACTCGCCTCGCGCCTCAGCGACCCTATGCGCTCCCTCTCCGCCGAGCACCGCCTGATGGGCGTCCCCTCGCGCGACGACAGGATCACCACGGTGCCCGGCGTGCCGTTGTTGTTGTTATTGTTCCCAAACTGGTGATGAGGCGTGTTTTCGCGCGATCTGAGCTGCGTGGGGGTCCGCGCGGGGGCCGAGTCCCGCCGACCGCTCGCCTGGGCATCTGCGTGGGGGGCAAACTGCTAGTCACCGCGATGCACGGTGCGCGGCGCTTGATTCTTCCGGTAGATGTACACTTGCAGCAAAATGGCCAAATCCAGACTCACCTGGAGCGTGCCACAGACCCAGAACTGCGTCGGAGCGCTCCGCAGGACGAAGTACACCGTCTTGAAGATGTCGCCCAGTGTCCACATGATCACCATGTGGAGGCTCATGCCGTGCGTGGACTTGTTGTGGTAATTCCGGATGAACTGAGGCGCTCCGAGCATCGCCTCGGTGAAGACGGCGAAGAAGCCCACCGTCTCCATGAACCACTCCACGGAGAGCATGAGATACGTGACGGCGGCCCCAACGGCCCACACCACCAGCATGAAGTCCAGGTACGACTGGAAATCCGTCCACTGCCAGAAGTACTTCATATCGAAGTCTGAAATGAGAAAGACGCTCTCAGTCAAGGTCCTGCGGCCATAAAAGCGCTGAAACTACGTGAGTGGCTCGGAATATTGAGAGTCATTCTGCTGTATATAATTCACGAAAGTCGCTGAATGATTTAATGAACGGATCAAATCAATGTTGATTAGATTTATCGACGTCGCCCGCAGCTAATCTCGTGTGGATTTCTTCGAGAAATCCACTCCTAATCACTCAATTGACTCTCCAAATATTCCAACTCACATCAAGTAATTGAAAGACTGCATGCAATGTGTGGCGCTCTATAGAGGCAAAATCATATTAGAATGAGGTGGAGAACCCAAGGAATTGCGATGCGTGAGAGAAGACATCGTACAGTGGGTGGCGATAGCGGTCTTTCTTCAGAGAGATTGTTATCTATGGGAGCAGCTGAATTCCTGCCCTCTCTCTCTCTCTGTCTTTCTTTATCTTCCTCCACTCTTCCAGCCCACTGAACAATGCCCGAATTGCTTGTGTGTGATGAAAAATGCTCAAACTTAGGATTGTTAGAGTAAAAAGTGCGATGAAAAATTAGTCTTGTGAAGCATTTGGGCGACTAAATCGTCCCGAACGATCATCAATCCCAGCTAAGTAACACAAGGAGCAACTCCCAGAGGAACAGCATTGAACGTACCCGTCAAATAGTGCTTAGCTGTGCCCCTCTTTATTTGTCCAGCTGGTGCTGTTATGACGCCATCCCCAATACCAATACGTTCATCTCTCGACGACTTCGAGGAACCCCTGCGATCCCTTAAGTCCTCGCCTTCAAACGAGAAATGCAATGAACACACTCTGTCTTGCGGAAGGATTGCCTCTTGAGCTCTTGAGCTCAGGAAGTGTGGCGGTGGGTGTGTAATTTGTCAAGGAAAGGCCTGAGAAATCCTTGGGCACACTTACCGGAAAAGACACGCTCTCGCGTCCTCATTATTGCATTGTTGCGACGCACCTTGACACAAAGGTGGATCATCAGGAACATGGTGAGGTTCATCACAATACTTTGGACTAGTAACGGAAGCTCATATCGTTTGGAAAACCTGCCGAGAGAGGCAAGAACGACGGAGATATTTATGAGGTTGCGTGGCAATCACCTCTGACCACGCAGTCACGGTCGCGATGATAGCAAACAACGGCAAACTCACCAAAAAAGTATCCTCAGCGTGTTCGCGATGAGAAGGGCGAGGCAGACGTGGAGGGAGAAGCCTTCCGGATCCTGTGTCTGCTTGATCTGCCGATACTGCGGAATGTACGGGATGACACCGCCGACCACCATCGCGGAGGCCGCTGCCCAGCCCACCACATGGCCCAGCGTCAGCCCCAGCTCGTCATTTATGATCCAATCCATCCTCACGCGTCGCGACCTCGCGCTATGTACAAGGGATTAATGCAGGAAACAGGAGAGCCTCACTCAGTCACTGTGCGCCGTGTGCACGACACTCAAGCTGGGCGTGTGATTCACCACCGAACAAAGCGATCCCAGTCACACCAGGCACACACTCACGTCGCCCACATCTTTCTGATAATGGGGCTAATTGTGATTTTGAGAAATCCGAGGACCTTCTGCCTTTCGCTGACACTCAGCTGGGTGCAAAATTCTGACAGCCCGGCCGACCGAACGCTGCATTAGAACTCACACGAACCGATTCGCATTGTGCACTCGGCCAAGGGGAAAATATACCATGATTTTCAAGGTCTCTCGAGAGTAGAGCAAGTTTTGGCTCTCTTTCAAGTTCCTTTCGAACTAGTAATGTGAAATCTCAGAAGTTTAAGGCTATTTCTCTTCTTAAAATCTCTCAACACTAGAAAGCGCTTTCTTTTTAAAGAAAAAGAGCTTATAAATTCTTTACTAAATTTAATCCATTGTGAGCTGAACCGAAATGAATTTATCTAAAATTATTTAATGAATTGCACTTGAGATTCCTGAGAATACTAGAAATATTTCCCAGTGCGAAATGTGGCTGGTCGGTCGGGTTATCAATTACACTTTTAGTACTCGTCGGAGGGGAAGTTGTCACTGCGGCATCCGGTGTCACAAAATACCCCTCTCGCGGCACTGTTTGTTATTGTTTTGCAAACTCGTGAAAATCCAGAGAAAGCAGAGATAACTCGTCCTCAGCTGCGTGATAAATACTCCCAGGAGGTGAGTAGACCACTAATCTCCGCAATTGACCGAATGACACTGATTGAAAGTGCGAGATATTCACGGGGAGACACCATGAGAAATTTTCCTAACCTTCGCACCGCCAATTTTGGGCATGAAAAATCAATTTCCATTAGATAAAAACACAGAGAAGCATAAAACACTGGGTATGGTAATCACGATCCATCCTGCGGTGAGGTAATTTTGCGACTGATTCGCTAATTCTTTAGGTGTGGCACACACGATTGATTGATTTTCTTCCACTTCCTCCACGCACACAGAAGTTTCCCTTCGGCTCTCACTCTCCTTGGTTTTCTGATAAAGAAAATATGAATTGATATTGCTTGTGGGCACTGCGCGGACTATCGCGAAAGTCAATTAAGCGAAGTCAGATTGACACTCTGACTGTAGAAGCGTGATGATGATTTTAGCGACACTTCTCATCTTCCCATCTTCCACTTAGCATGACGCTGGCAAATGCCCTGATAAGACCCTCGCTGAGTTGGAGAGGCAGCGGAGCGGTGTATCTGATGCTCCGCAGTCAAATTCGCGGATACTCAACGCCGTCCGCGAAGAGGGAGAGCCAGGAGTCTTCCTTGGCCGCGGCCAGACAGCAGCACGAAGTGTCGGCGGACGTGAAGCCGCTCGGCGAGCGGATCAAGGAGAACACGAAGACTGCGAGCTACACGGGTGTGATTCTGTTGGGAATCGGAGTCACTGGGGCACTGTTCTACACGATCTTCCGGGAGCTGTTCTCGTCGTCGAGTCCCAACAGCGTCTACTCGGCCGCCTTGGAGAAGTGTATCAACGATCCGCGCGTCCAGGACGCTCTGGGGGCGCCTATTAAGGGGTATGGCGAGGAGTCGAGCCGCAGGAGACGGAGGCATGTGGCACATTCCGTGTACCAGAGGGACGGTGTCAATCACATGCGAATGCAATTTTACGTCCAAGGAATCAGGAACAAGGCCACAGTACATTTAGAAGTGAAGGAAGTAGGTCAAAAGTAAATTGAAAATCAATCTCGAAACTCATTCAATGTGATTTTATTCGTCTCTCTCCGCAGAACTCCGCCGGAAGCTACGATTATAGGTATATTTTTGCCCAATTGGATCACTATCCGCGAACGACGATCATTCTGGAGGATAATCGCGTGCAGGATGGCCAGAAGAATGCTCCATTGCCGAGTCTGTACTGATTTGTAAAGTAAAGGTAAATGTTTTAGTATTGTTTCTAGTAAGCCTTCTTCCACGGAATTGACTCCCAAGCGCGCACGATGAAGCGACTGAAGGCGTAATCCTTGACCTTCTGCACCAGCAGGACGAAGAGCACTGCCAGGCTGAAGTACTGAATCCACAATTCGCGAACTTTTCGCCACACGGATGTGTGGTAGCGAGCGGAAATCTCTCCGATTTCCAGGTGAATTTTCACAGCAGCGTAATTTTCATCGCTCGTCTCGGTGAATGTCTCAGGCGTGGTGAAGCCAATGTAGGCAGGATTCATTTTTAATTTCTCATAAACCTTCACGGTTCTGTACTCTTCAAAGTCCGTGGCATTTAGATTGAGAGGGTTGAAGCGTGACTGAATGTTGCGAATGAAGAAAGGGCAGTAGAAGGACGACTTTTGATGCAAGTTCACGCGACTGTGATAGAGAACTTGAGTGTTTGGCAGGATTTTCACGTTCTCCTGCAGCAGAAAAGCTGTTGGGATGCCTAGATGGCAATCAGCGCGGATTATTCCGTCGAAATACACCTGCACGATTACTTCTTTGATGGGATTTTCCCTCGAAATGTCCGCGTGAAAGGATATTTGCATGTCGTCAATCAATCCGTCATTGTTGAAATCATTCTCGACAAACTGCGACAATTGAGAGATTAATAAATGAATGCAGAGGCATTTGGACTACAGCGTTATTCACCTCAATCTTGGCGCACTTCTGCACATCCTGCAGCAAATTGCTGACGTAGGGCAGCGAAGAACAGGCCACGATGTCTTCATTCTCGCGTATCGCAACGAAATTGTACTTGTAGGTGAATGTGATGTTCGGCTGCTCATAAATGGTCACTGTGTGATGCCACAGATCAGCGTTTGCGAAGATGACGATGTAGAAGGGGATTAAGAGGGCCGAGAGTGTCGTGATTGCAACGAATAATGTCGCGAAGGAGCATAGAGAATGTTTGTACGATATATTAACACTTTTACTGTGAATTGTCAGCAATTTCATGTTGAATTTATGATTCCTTCTTGATCACGGCTCTAGAAATTAATTGAATGCAGGAGAGAACTATTTATTTTGTTATTTATATGCGTTTCCAAGGCGATGATGGTATCGAAAGTCTCCAAAAGAGAAGTTTAGTTGAGACACAAAACAGTGGAGACACATTTTGATGGTAAAAGAAAACTTCTTTACAGTCGCTCTTTGATGCGTCTAATGGCGTATTTCGCAAATTTATAAATTGGATTAAGCTTGAAGATTAATTCATATAGAGTTTTTGGGTATTTTAATGCAAAATTACTTAATAAATTGACTCAAACTTCTAACATTTTCTTCACTATAAATTTGACATGAAATGTTTGTCTTTTCGTCCATTTTCACGGTTTCAATTGGACGGGAAAAACTAACGATATCAAAGAGGAAATTAGGCGTGCCACAAAGAAGCATGAAACGCCCTTCTAATTTAAAAAGTAAGACATTTGCGTACATTTTCTGGAGCATTAATCGTTAATTGTTATTGAGAGACACATTTCTTGCGCCCCATCAGAAGGGAAAAAGCCACAATCTTATTTAATTGTGATTTTTTTCTCTGCTCTTTTTGTCTCGAAGCGTCTTTTTTTCTGGCTGCCCTAACAGGAAAGAAATGTAGTGAAGCCCAGTGTTGGAGAGTAAGAAAAAAAAACACAAGAAATTAGCATTGAATAATTACTAATTAACAAAAATTGATTGTATGTGCGCTCTTGGTCTGGGAGAATTTATATGAACCTCAAGTGACTATTTGTTCTACGAGCGCGGCTCTTTTTCTTCGCTTGGAAAATAATGGGACTCTTGGTATCTCATTATGAAATTAATTTGTAAGATTTCTCAAAACTAATATGAAAATATGAGTCAATTTGATTGTGGGCTTCCCAAAACCAGTAATGTCTCTCGATTTAAATTAATTTTGAAGAGCCCCGAAATGGAATTCAATAATGTTTGGTGGGTTCAACAATGGGAGAATGAAGTGGCTGAGTTGGGGACTCCTCTCCCGGTGTGATATTTACATTACGGCATTTTATCACAATTCAATAATATTGAAATGGTCAAATCAAGAGGGGGTGCAGGTGTAATTTATTTATTCAAATCGAAACACTAAAACCGTGTGTGATTTTGTCATGGCGAGTGGAGAGAAAAATGCAGCATAAGTATAATTTGAATGTGTCGTCCGCGCGGCGGTGGTTTATTGAAATTTGTACACCTCTTCACGAGTGGAATTCTGTCCACTCTTGTGCCGCGTTGTCATTCAGCATCACAATGATTCGACCTCCTGTCGACAGTCATTTGGGGCCTCTTTGTTCTCCACCTTTCGAGAGGCGTTCAACGATAAATTCTCCGGTAACTGAGGCATTATACCAATTTCTGATAGAGCTATTAAATGCCTCCCAAACAGCCGTGAAGTGTGTGTGTGTGTGAGAGAGAGGAAGAGAGCGGGAAAATATGTCCGATGGGTTTTTTGAAAAAGTCAACTCTTGCCAGCCATAAAAGTGTTAATGATTCCTTATGTCCGGGCGAAGAGAGGCAGGAGGAGTGGTGCAGTGAAATAGTGAAATATATTTTATGCTTTTGTCAAAATGTGCCCGACAAAAATTATGAATGAATGAATGAAAGGCCGCGTTCCGCACCCTCCTCACTAAATCACTGAATTATATGGAATAGCGCACAGACTCTCCATATTTCACACTTTACGGCTGTTGATAAGGGCCATTAACGTGTCCAGTGTCAAAAAGTCACATTCCCAATTCAACGGGCTGGGGATCTCTTGGCTACACCTCCACTCGGCGTCCATTCACAAACATTTTTGGGCAGAGGCATTGGACAACGGCCTCTGGAGTGGAAAGCGTGAGCATACTGAAGAGAATAGCATAAGCGACAGCATAGAATGTGCTCACAAGCGCTGGGATTTAGCAGAAAAACGCGGATTTTGATAGGAAAGTGATTTCATCGACTGTATTAACGTCTTCACCGCCCAGCCAGAAATTCATTGGGTCCATTCAATACATATTCGACGAATATATTGATGGTTTAATGACTGAAGCGTAAGCTTGCAAGATTAAAAAAATGTATAAAATCTTAGTTGGTTAAGCTGTTGGTCAAAACTAAAGCTTCTCCCTGACTTTTTCTTCAATTTGCCGATATTGACTGTCTTGTACGATCACAAGTTCAGCTGAAATACAGCTTAAATTCAATCTCCGACCATTTCCTCCATTAATAATTCTCTATCTCTCACCACAATTTTTCTATTAATAATATTCTGTTATGTCTCTATATCAAACATCACCGCTATGGCATTAAAGTCTCTCAAGAGGGGCGCATCGGAGTAGAGAGTTGTTGGGAAAAATCTCAATGGCATCTGAAGTGGTGTCGAGGCGAAGAATCCTGTTGGATTGTTGTGGGGAATTTTCATCTCTGGAGAATGCTGTGTAAATTAAAATAGGTGTGAACTTTCCGGCGAGGAACGACAAAAGACTCGCCACATTCCAATTGGAGTGGACAGATGTGTCAGAATTTCCAGAAATTATGTCTTCCGTTGAAATTTTTCACCTCTTCTCGCATCTCTCCTGCGGTCAGGCCATGAATGAGGCTACGATCAACGGAATTATGAATCGAATATAAAAATGAAAATGATTCTCCAAAAAATATATCACATTTCGTAGCCAAAAGAGCGTTGGGGACTTCACAGCGGGTGTATTGTTATGAGGTGGCCAAAAGGCGAGGAGGAATTCTGTGAAAGATGAGGAGATGCTCCTCCTGGGTCCATTAATTTGACCATTTGATTGGGGCGCGAAGAACCACACCGAACTGTTCAATTGATTCCACATGTGGTTTAATTAATTGTCGACTTTTTAATGAGCGTGTGGGCCAAGTCACATTGCTAATTAATTGTTATTTCTTCATTCTTTTTTCACCTTGGATTTTTGAGTGTTGAATTTCGCCCTCCCAAATATGGCTTATAATTTGCATAAAGCGCAGAATCTGAGGTGCTTAAGCTGTTCGAGTTGGATGGCATTCCTCACGAGCGCACGAGTGTGATAAGAATCTCGCACATTTACATATCTAATCACTTTCTAATGTAACACAAAATTCCCCTTCTGCATCGTGAATTTTTTCGCTCTACTATTAAATATACATAATTAGCTTAATTAGATTAATTTTATTAACTGATGATTGCCTCAAACATGCAAATATGTAATTTCATCGCATAGATTGCGGATGGAATCGCCTCTTTCTCACTAATCATTTATATACTCTTTCTCACATGAATACACATATCATTTCACAGAAATTACCGTGATGAAAAATTAGCTGAGAAAGAAAAATTTCCTCCTCAGCGTAGGAAAAAAGTGTGTGTGTGTGTGTGTGTGTGTGTATGGCAAAATTACCATTAAGGTTGGCGGGCAGGAGAGGTGAAATTTGTGTTGCTGGAGCAAAGAAGAAAGTCTTATCAGTGGTGGCTTCAATAAATTCATATGATATCTGGCGAGACTTTTGTACAACAATAAATTCTAATTCTCATAGAAAAACTTTCTCCGGCTAGGATACATCTCTCTTTCTCTTGCAATAGTATTATATGGATTTTTACACTGGTTCGCCCTGAGCTGTGTAAGTAAATTTCGAGTTCGCACTGTTCGGGCAAAAAACACCATCGCGCGCATCGGGTTTTTGCCCCACGATATGGGGTCCTAATCTCCCCTACAAATCAGCAAATTTAGCGACGCACTCTCGGGGTTGTTGTGTGTAAATTCTTGCCCGAGATGCTGCCGGTAATGTGCGAACCCGTAAAGAGCAACCAATTAGTGTCTTCTGATAAAGTGAGAAAAGAGGGAAGGAAAAATTGTGACTTCGCCGCGAGCTCTCGTATTATTTCCTCTTGCAAACAAATCGCGCATTCTCGCCCTGAATGCTCTTTGGAATTGCTATAGGAATTATGTTATGGTATTATCAGAGTCCGGCATAAACCACAAAATATTCCCCCGAGCTCTTCTCTCTTCAGTCACTTTTTATGTGCCACGAGCTTGGCTTCGCTTTGGCGAGAGAAAAAAAAACCTCCACAAATTCGCCACCAATTTGAGTTTCAGCAAACACACCCTCTTGCAGAGATACTCGCGAGGGGTTAAATGCCAAATGAATTATGAATTTTTATCATGATTGATGTGATTCACACAGTTGTGGGCGAGGGTGAAGCTGGAGACAAAGTGGTTGTCTCTCTTCACCCTCGCCTTTTTTTCTCTCCCCCTGAATTGCTTCTTATGCTTTAATATGTTGTACACCCATCAGGGGATGATTTCCATCTCCACCACGCGCTTGTGATGCTAAATAAAATCATCATAAGAGAATTATGAAACCGACACACAGTTTATCCAACATTTTGACTGCAATTAGGGCGAATGTGTATTATGTTGTTGCTCTCTTTGCGCCTTATCCAGCCCGGAGGGTGCAAACTTGATGTGAAATGAATGAAATGGGGAAAGAAATGTTGAAGCTTAATTTTGCATTACACTCATTTCAGCTACTGTAAGTATTCTCTTGCTCTCCGCGATGGTGATGTCTTCATTTCATTTTTTTACTGCGAATTTGGGATATTTTTTCGAAGCGCAGAAGACAAATTTCGATTTAATTCCCCTGATATTTTGTCTAGCTTAAGTATAGGGCTTTTCTAATATTCGCTCGAAAGTCGCCACAAGCCAGCCATTTGTCGTGTAATTTGGGGGGTGAGCAAAAAGCTGATAGGACAGCATTATGTGTCCTTTGATGATGATTATGATGTCAGGTCGCCAGATTCGAGCTGCAGATGCGAGTGAATTAGTCGTGACCGCAGAAAGCATGTGGAAATTGATTTGCTCAGATGCAATCCATCGACCAGGTACGCAACAAATAATCACATTTGGCCGCGGCAGCAAATTAAAGGGTGCTTCAAGTGGCAAAAATTTACAGTTACGAGATGACATTCACTAATTAGACGGCAATGTCCAGATGAAGAATTCCGCGTGTTGGTGAAATTACTGTAATTTGCAGTGAGAAA